TGTCTTTGTTCTTCTTTGAAGTCCTGGAACAGCATACAAAGTCTCATCCTAGATAATGGAGGTAAAAACAAATCCCTGGCCTGATTATCTGACTTTATGATTTCTTTTGCACAGCGGTCCTCGCCAGATGTCAAGGCAGAAATGTTTGAGTTGCTTTACCAAATACTTCACCAAAACTGGAGGTACTTCTTCAAAACCTCAGTCTTAACGAGCGTGCAAAAAGGAGGCGTTGACGACACCATGGAGAATGAGGCCCAGTTCACAGCAGCCATGCAGGTGTGTTTATGCAAATCCCATTAATCTGTACAGCAACTAAAAGAAGAAATTCAATTTTAGGGATTTGAGTTTTGCAACTTTTCAGCCTCATTTGCATCTGATTCACTCTGTGTTCTTTGTTGACATATCTTGTCAGGCTTTTGGACAGTCCTTCCTGCAAACTGATATCCACATCTTCAAGCAGAATCTGTCGTATCTGGAGTCACTTAACAGCAAGCACAAGTTGTACCACAGAGTACGTCCAGCTTTTCTTCCAACCTTTACATCCTTAAGTAACAAAGAACAAACAGAGAGGGGAAAATGTTGCAACATATTTCAATATCTAAGAGAAGTAAAACTTGAATAATATTCAAACAATGGGAAACAGTTTTCTATTACTCATTTTCTGATAGTGTGTGTGTATATATGTATGTATTTTTATTTTTTTATTATTTTTAATCTCCAGAAGCTTTTCCGGACCTCGATGCTCTTCCACTTCATCAACGTGCTCCTCCAAGTCCTTCTGCACAAAAGTCACGACCTCCTCCAGGAGGAAATAACCCTGGCCATTTACAACATGGCCTCCGTTGACTTCGATGCCTTCTACTCGGTTTTCATGCCGCAGTTCCTGAACGGTTGTCAAGGTGTGGACAGCAATCAGCGGGCCGTTCTCGCACGCAACTTCAAGCTGGAACAGGTCAGTTTTTTGGGGTTTTTTTTAAGATAAAATCACTTTAACTCACCACTTTCTGATGCACATTTTCTTTAGAATCGGGATGAAAAAACAAGGATTTTGTTTTTCATCTTAGCTGGTAACCACTTCAATTAGCTGCATGTGATTCAAAAACACTCAGCACTTAACAAACATCTTCATTCATGAACTCTTTCATCTTTAGCACAGATAGCATGAGCAGCTCTGATTCATGCACAGCATTCTCATCATTTATCTTCGATCTTTGTAAACATAAATGCATCCTAAATCCCGTTATCTTGTTTCTTAAGTAGATATAATGTCTAACAAAAAAATCATACCCTTTGCTCCTCATAGTGGAGCAAAGGGTATGATTTTTGGCGTGTTTTAGCCACAAACCTTTGATGTAGTTTTACTTTTCTTGTTTTGTTTTCTACAAAAGAATTTGTGAAGAAGACACAAATTTGTACAAATTCATTACACAAATTAATTTGTGTAATGATTTGTATACATTAACACAAATGAATACACATAGTATTTGCCACAATATCTGCCAACTAGTGTGGCAGATATTTGTTTTCTTGCCTTCCTTACCCTGCCTCTTTGTACTGAAAAATATTTCATAAATTACCAGTGGCGAGAAAACATTTTCCGTTTACAAAAATTAGGTATTACAAATGCAATTCACGTGACATGGACAAATAATGGTGTTTCTTTTTTTTTCTTTGCATCCACTTATACCACAATAAATAAGGTGCTAATTAAACACCATATTCACATTTTACTTTTTCACCATAAGACTTCACATGTTCACACTTTTGAATCAGCAGCTCCTCCTACGTTCTTCACTTTCAGCAGGATTCGAATTGAAAACACTAACTAACATCAAGGCGTTGTTTTTCATTGTTCATTAACACCAAGATATGTGTTGAGTATTGCATTCCACTTCAGAAAATCCTCCTATTGTCACATAAAAATGCTCTTTTATAGGACAAAACACTTCTGAGTTGAGTTTTTGTGTCCTTGAAGGACCAATTCGACATGAGATGATCTGTAAGTGAATTTGTTTTCCACCTTTACCCCAGGACCTGCCCTCATTCACTCAAAGCGTGCAGAGACTGGTGAACGACCTTCGCTACTACAGACTGTGTAACAGTAGTTTGCCCACTGGCACCATCAAGCTATAGCAGAACGACTGCTTGAACCACTCCACCTGTCCGCTGTGATCTTCAAAGACTGTCTGTGCTGACCACACTGACCAACACTCCTCCACTTTGGCTTCGCCACACTCTAAGCAGCGGCAAGGAGCAACACACACATTTCTTGGTTGAGTAGCGGGAGGGTGAGCATGCTGCTGATGACGTTTTTTGTTGTTGTTTTTTTTTATTATTATTTCTACTGTAAAAGGTCGACGCATTGGTCTATCTCTGTGAGCAGTGTCCTCCTTTAGTGTCTTGCCAATGAACATTTGATGAGGAAATGTACACCTGGTCTGCAGTTAGCACCTGCGCAGACCTGGAGCTGTCTGAGCCAGGCCTTCTCTCCCATTCTGCTGCAATAAAGCTGGGCTGGGACTGAGCACTTTCAACTCATTATGAGTTTTTTTAAATGTCTGCTTTTATTCATTTTTGCCTTTTTCATCTCCAAAGGAGACCGAATCTCAATTTAAGATCTTTCATATCATTCCATTCTGAAGACGTGAAAACTGCTTGATTTAATAAATTGCTTTTTTTTACTACAGCTTGTCTTTTATTTCTTATTATTTCTGGGATTTGCCTGTTTAGTGTTGCTGTCATAGTAATGGAGGTTTTAACAGTGCAAAAACACAATCATAGCTATTTTTGTTTACTTTCTACTGAAACCTCAGAACCCTTTCAATGACATACAAGTTTAAGTCAGTATTTTCTTAATATTGAGAAAAAAATAATAATATTGCCACAGGCACATTGTTTCCCTTATAATATGAGAAAAAAAGTCTTGTTATAAGTGCAATAATCTTCCAGTGGACTTGAAACAAGCTCTTATGTCTTGCTGAAAAGGTACTTGTGAATTAGTTTAGTATTATTTCAAGTGTACTGAGATATTTGCACTAGAAAATACACCAAAAACACTTGGGAAAATTTTGTGTAGTATAAATATATATTATCATTAGTGGGTGACTTTTAAACCAGGATTAAATGAAAACAAAATTTCTTTGGGAACAGAACTGCCACACTGTCTTGACTGAAGTTTTTTTTTTTCTTAAATATTGTTACAGATTAAATTTTACTTGTCTAATACTGGAGCCTTTCAACTTCTCTAATTTTAATTCACAAAAAAAAACTGTTGTTGAGACTCTTTTGCATATCAACCTTCCTTTTCAGAGATGTGGGAAAATATGCAGACTGGGGGAAAATAACAGCATGCCACCTTTTTTTTTTTCTAAACAAATGACTTGGCATCCCTAATTTCATCTCCACCAGAGCTGTTGCAGCTGCAGTTGTGTTTAAAAATGGCAAAAGAAAGTTAATTTTACTTAAACAATGGCTGTTCTGGTAGAAAATACATCCCCACAGGGCAAAGGGGGGTGCATTCCAAACAAGAGTTGATTTACGTCACTGGTATTTCCTTCTGTAGAAGAGAGTGCAGAAATTGATTGTCTTAAATAGAATTATCACACATGCATGAAAATGTATATTAAAATGACAAAAGTGGAAATGACAGAAAACCTGTCATTGTTGGGAAAAATAAAGGGCTTGACAGAAAAGATAATAAAATAGCAAAACTAATGTCTTGTTGCTGTAGGACAATTCCAGCCTTGTTGCTAATCTGTATGCACTACAGAAACCAGGAGCACAAACCCAAAAGAAAACCAAATGGCTCTTTGGTCCTTATACAATGGCTAATAATTATTTGGCTGAAATGTTCAGAAACATGTTTTTAAATAATAGAGTTGACAACAAATACAGAAATTTAGCTGCATTTTTTTTCTAGTTTAATTGGAAACTAAGTGCTTTTCTGTATTTATTTCCCACAAATGTAAACATCCAAAAGAAAATAAGGTAGACATCCTCTGTTTATATGTTTTAATAATGATAAAATTATTTTAAAACAAAAATATAATTATTTATGAAAAAGTTTTTTATCTCAGAAGCTTATGAAGCGCGTGGCAATAAAATGATTTTATTTTGCAGGACTGAAGGTGGAAGTGGCTCTTTGGTTTCTTAACAGCCACTGATCTAGAGGGAGATGAGTTTTAAAATCTTTTATCCTACATCTGATATGATTTTTTTTAAAACTGCAGCATAAATTCAACTTGCCTCTATTCCTTTAGCACCTCATTTGAAAGTGATTTACAAGACAACAAAGCAATAAACAAGATTTAACAGTCAGTTAAAGACAAAGTTAATGAAAGATATAAAGAACTACCTGCAAAATAAAGATAGTTGGACTAAAGGGTTTAATAAAAACCTTCACCTATAAAAAGATTGTAAAACAGTGAGTGTGAAGTCTGAGCCTGTCTGTTCAGAGCAAAGATTTCATGTGAAATGCAGGATAAGATCTTCATGCTAAGCAGAAGCAGTGATTTCAACTGCCTCAAAAACAATCAGGGGAAGAACTTTGCACCCTTAACTCCCTGAATTTTGCAGATCCCCTCTAGAAATCTATCAGCTCGTTGTTTAATTTTATTGAAAATCTTTATGGTCTCTATGGTTTCAACAGGCGCAGGTTTTGTTTTTTGTTTTTAACAGACCTGACCAGCATTGGAGGGTTAAAGAGGTTGGGCTCAACTCCACTTGTGACTTGGCCGGTTATTCTGCTTCAAATGTTCCTTTTTTTCTTTTCTTTTTTTTTTCCCCACAATAGTTTTTATTTGCGTAAGGCCTTTTCTTCAAAGTTATCACACACCCAGTGGCTGCGAGGCGTTCAGGAGGAAGATGAGATGCGTCTTTTTAAAACGCATGAAGGAAGAGGGACCCGGCATGAGCAGAGTTAAATGTTGAGGAGCGAGCGTCAATCAGTGGAGCCGGACAGAGGGGTGGGGACAACTCGAGAGGTTTAATTGGGGAGGCTTGACTTCACGCCAGAGGCTGACAAACCAAGGCGTGAGGCGCACGGTCATGTTGCGGCGCAGGGTTTTCCACGCGGCTCTTCAACAGCTTTTCACAGGGACCCAGGAAACCGAGCGAGCCCTGCCATGTGGGCTCCTCTGCGCGCTGAGGGGGGGACGCAGTCTCGACTTGCACAGGCACAAATCAAGTAAGTGAAGAGGATTTATTTGTTCTTCTTGTGGAAGATCAGAGGCGGTGATAAGTTCGTGCATTTCCGTTAAGTTCCGTTTTTGCGCGTTTGTTTGCGTTTTTTCTTTGTCACTGGTTATTTGTTATCTTTCATTAACTTCCTCTGCGAGTAACTGGGTTTTTACATTTGAATGGAAGAGGCGAATCTCTGGACAGAGTTCACTCGAGTCAGAGACTTTAAAGTTTTTTTTGTTTTTCCCCCTAAACCCAACGACAATATTTGACAACAAACCCGCCCTCAGACGAACGGGGTCATGAACCAGAGATGGATTAGTTGCCCAAAGTCGGTCGGTTTGTCCTGCATGTTTTTGTCACTGTTCTTCTTAGACCGTCTAATGAGACATCATTTGATCCAGGTGCGTTAAACCAGGGAGATGCCGGGGCCCTCCGGGGCTGACTTTGGGCACCACTGGGTCAGTGTGTTAAAGGTTTGTGGCAGTCATGTGGCAACAGAAAATGTCCAAAAGTTGTTTTTTTTTTTTGTTTGTTTGTTTTTCTGTCGACTGTACAGCATCATCGCGTAGATTTGAACGTTCACGGATTCGTCATTGTTCACGTCCTGCGTGACGCCGACCGGCGCGCCGCTTCTCAGCTGCTCTCGTGGCGGGTCTCGTGTGTTGCTAATGGATCGCATGCAGTCAGTCATTCATGCGCTCCTGGTGCCGTGGCCCCTGTCAGGAGTCATGGAGTGCGTCTGAGCTGACATGTTTAAAACAGACATGAGGAATGAACAGCTTACATGGTTTATTTTAGTGAAAATGGTATAGAAAATGTCGACTCCACTCTTATATATGTATATCTATAACTTTTTTATCGCTGTTAAATGTTTTTTTTTATCATAAAATGAATTTTGTTACTAGTTTAAATCTGAACAGTTTTCCAAACCTATTGAAAAAATACTGACTCCTGAGCTTAATTATGGGTTGTATGACCTTTAATGACAACAGCTGCTGTCAGGTTGTTTTTAGAATTGTTAATTTTATCTATATTTTTGTTAATTCTGGGGTCATTTAGTTGTGATATTTCCTTATTGTGTAGCTTAAACTAGGAAAGGAATCTAGTTAGCATGTTTGCTTGTAGAGTTGCACTTAGAAAAGTGCTTCCTTGCTCCAGGATGTTGAATTTGGATGATCATTACTCCTCTACCCTGCTGGATAGCTGCTGCTGATCCACCAACATGTAGCTACTATGCATTTCAGTTGTATGTTGACGTTCTTTTGCCACATCAGGCCTCTTGGATGTGAGGGAGCGGACTCTCATCGCCGTAAAGCCAGACGGAGTGCAGCGTCGCCTCATTGGACAGATCATCCAGCGGTTCGAGCAGCGAGGTTTCAAACTGGTCGGGCTAAAGATGCTGCAGGTAAATAAGCTCTGTGTGTTGACTGTGAAGAAAACGCCCTCTTTCTAACTCCAGCTGTATTTGCCGCAAAGGCGACTCAGGATGTCCTGTCCGAGCATTACTGTCACCTGAGGACCAAGCCGTTCTATGGCAATCTGCTGCACTACATGACCTCTGGACCCCTGGTTGTGATGGTGAGGGCTTCCCTTCTGCTTTGGGCTCCTTGCAGTTTTTACATTGTTTTGCTTTATCTCGCACTTGCTTATCAGTCCGCTGCAATGCATGAGTGGTGCTTTTATCTATGTTTAGGTATGGGAAGGGCATAACGTCGTTCAGACATCGCGGACCATGGTGGGAAACACTAACCCGGCTGAGGCCCTGGCAGGAACCGTCAGAGGAGATTTCAGCATTCATGTCAGCAGGTGAACTCATTTAATCTTTTCTCGTTTTACAAAACTTTACAAAATAACTACTGTCACAGGATTAATACAAGACGAACATTAGCCAGAGAAGGAGCCAAGTCACCTGATGGTAGCTCTGAAGGAACTGCAAATATTCGCAGCTCAGGTGGAAATGTCTGTCAGCACAACAGCTGTTTGTTATGCATTCAACAAATCTGGGTGACAAGAAGAAAGATGTTTATGCAGAAATATTTCATTTGTGCTGTGGAAGAAGGTGTCATGTTGAGATGCAGCTGGTGCTGAACCTTTTGGTCTAAATGTTAAGAGCCATTTGAGAATACTAAGTCTGCTCGCCATATTGGACACAATGTATTTCTATGGAAACACGGTGGTGGTGGAATGATGCTGTCAGGAAGTTTCACTTCATTGTACAGGGGGAGCCTGGATGGAGGCTGGTTAGAGAATATGAGAGGAACTAAATACCAGATTATTCTGCAGAAAATCTGAGACCGAGTCAACATTTCACATTCCTGTGGAATAGCAACACCTAGAATACACCTAGACCTAAGAACAAAATGGCTTAGATCAAAGCATAGTCATATTTTAGAATGACCTAGTCAAAGTCCAGACCATCTGAGAATCTCAACCAGGACTTCAAAAAGATGTTTAGATACGTTCTGTGTCTACAGCGGCAGAGCTTGCGGTGTGTTCTGTAAAAAGTCTCCATCCCTTGATTGAGAAGAATCTACAAATGACTTGAAGTTTTAATTGTGGCTATGTGGATCTACAAAGTATTGATGAATACATATCTCTCCTTTTTAAATTTTCCATTAACCACTTGTGATATTCCTTTACTGTCAGAATTGTGCTCAACTTTAGTATGTCAAAGAAAATTCCAAAAAACATTTGTTTACAAGGAGAAAGAGTTAAAAATATTCAAGGGTTATGAACAGTTTTGCAATTCAATGTACATAAATGCCCGTTATCAACTCACGTCGATAAAGTAATCACAAGTGTTGCTCATTTAAAGGAACGTGGTCCATGCCAGTGACTCGGTGGAGGGGGCTCAGAAGGAGATCCAGCTGTGGTTTCAGACGAAAGACCTTTTGGACTGGGACTTGTGGGACCAGACCAGCACCGACGATGTCTGAAGATGGCATCAATCGAAGGGAGTGAGAGAAAGATTTACTGCCTCTTTCCCTGCTGCTCAGTGGTCCGTCACTTCAGCGCGACCAAAGGCGATTGTAAAACATGAGCCGTATTCAGTGATCTCAGTGATTTACCTCAGAAATGCACTCAAATAAAAATGTTGATGTTCTGTCAGGTTTTGGGTTTTAATCCTTGTTTTGAACTGGTGCATATTCTAATTTGTAATCAACATGTTTCTGTTTAATGGTTAAGTTACTTAAGGGTTTAATATGCAGAGTGTTGACTGAAGAGTACACAAAGTTCAGATATTATAATTTATTTTTAAAATGTTCTGTTTGAACCTTTCATCCACATCCTCTCAGTGAAGAAGCACATTTTACACACATTTTCTAGACAGGCTTTTTTTTGTTTGTTTTGTCCCAAGGCAAAAATGTTGCATTTTAGCCAACCTTTTCTACGTTGGGCAAGATTTGTTCTGAGGCCATAATTTGGCCATGCACTGAAAATATTAATAAAAGAGCAAAAATGGTTAAAAGTGTAAAAAATGAAACAAAAATAGAATAATGATTAAGTAGATGACATATTTTCCTTAGAGGTGCTAAAGCAATAAACCAAAAATATAAGCAGGTTACTGTGGTCAAAGGCTCGTTTTTGGCCGGGGTTTCAATCATACTTGTAGCTTTTAGGGCATTTTTTTCACATTTTGATCACTGCAAAATACTCAGAAATAAGGACAAGATTAAAAACGGTTGTTTCAAAATGATTTTTGCTGCGCAGGAGGAGTTCAAAAGGTTGATTCACACAACGTCACTGAACATTCCTCCATCTTTTCCTTCATAGGTCTGATTTTCATTGTTCACAATGTTACCTGCTACCTTAAATCTTCCTTAAGACTCTCTCCAAGGAGAGCCCACACTTGGATATTGTTTTAATTTATGCTTTTCTTTACTTGTTGTTCTATGATCGCTCTGAAATGGCACATTGGTAAAGTGTTATGTATCAAAATATCTAAAAGTAGATGCGTCTTCATCCCTGTGATGATGTTAGGAAGGCAAATCAGGACAGGCTTGCAAAATCAGCACAGGGTAAACTGAAAGGTCAGTTGTTGTTTACACATTAAAATTTGACCTCTGGTGAAAGTTCTGTGTAGAAATGGTGAAGCAACGTTCTGTTCACATCATGTTGGTTTTCCTTCTGCTTGTGTACCTGGATGGGTGTTTCCTTTTTGTGTGTGTGAGGAGTCACAGGGTCAAAAACTTTTCACAATTGTTGGAAAAAGACTTGAAGGCTTATGCTGAATTTAGTGTTGAGAGATATCATGAGATAGAGGAAATGAACATTACAAATCCATCTATTGACCTTTACTGGTGAGATGTGAATATTCCAAATATGAGTATTTCTGGGCTTTAGGCAATAATTAACAGAGCAAATAATCACCTCTCTGTCTTGAACACAACAGACAATGAACACTGATTTTTTAAATTTTTTTATGTATTGTTTGTACATTTAGACTGAAAATACACGGTTGTAACAATGATATAATAAAAATGAATATGAAATAAACATGAATGTGAAAAGTGAACAATCTGCAGAGGTTTTCTGTTAATGGACAATTGTAATCATTTTGCATTACTTTAGTCTCATTTATTTTATTCACATTGTTAGTATCCACAGAGTAGCAACTAAGACGTGACCACAACAAAAATAAAAACGGTAAGAGAAATTTATTTTGAGAACATGTGAAGTAAAAACACCTTGCATGTCAGTGCGGCCAACAGGGCTGCATCATTAATGCGTCGTTCATGTAACCTTCATGTGCAATAATACAAGGCTTTTTTGTAATGCTGTGTTCAGGACGCCTTTTGACACAATGAACATAATGCCTAACAGCATATTAAAGACATAAAACTAGCAAAATGAAAACAGAAAGAACAAAGTTAACAGAGTTTATTTAAAAGAAGTAAAATATTTTTGTCAGTGCAGATATTACTCTATTATTAACACATGTATGTAATCTTCATGTTACTGATGAATTTATATAGCCTTCATGTACAACAGATTGGTCTCGTATCCCTTTAAGTTGCTATTGATTTCTTTGTCTTATATCATGAACTTTACCAATCCAGGTCAGTCATCAGATTTCACTTCTCCACCACCGTCTCTAGTTCAGAAACTTTGCGCACATCCTGTTGAGGAGCAAACAATACGTTGGTTCAGTAGAACAAAATTATAGTCACTTTTTGGGGAATCAAATTACTGGTTTATTTTTGCCAAAGGTAGTTTTTCTAAATCTTAAGCTCTAATAATAATCTGTCGTTTCACTAATGCTAAAGCTCTAACTTAAATTCAAATTACGTCTGCCCTTGAAAGACTACAATCTGCCGGCACTAATTTAATTTGACATAATTTAAGATGACACATCCACTGTTTTGTTGTTTCCTCAATAGAGATGGAAAGTTAAAAGCTCAATTTCTAACACAAACAATTGTCATTGTTACCATCTATTAAACCTGATTTAACAAAATGCAACATTAGAGTGAATATGTTGTATGATTTTTACTTTATTGTCCCTTACACTTACCTAAATGGAAATTTGTTGTTGGTTTGTTATAGAATTTGAGCAAAGTATTTTCCCCAACATTTTTATGCAGTTTTGCTGATGGTTAAGTGATTCTCGGCTTTATGTGGATCATGGTCTTTAAAACTTCAACTGTAATACTGTAAAGTCATTAGTTGATTTTAAAAAATGAAACAGAACCAGAGCTGATCACTTTCTTGTCCTTGCTCATTTTGAATGTAGGTCAGTTCAGTAACAATGTGGCAAAGTGATGCAAGTCTGAATCGGTCAAGGCCGAGCAAATAAACGCCTGTTGACAACAGAACCGGACCACAACCGTCTGGCAACAGAGGCAAACAAACACATCCAGAACAACAGGGTACAAACCTCGAGAAGAGACTTCTGTCCCAGCACCTGCAGGTAAATGCGCTCTCCTTCCAGAGGACACACCCTGCACAGCTCCTCATTCTTTAAGGAGAAGAGCTGCGCTCCATTCAAAACTCCCAGCGTCTCCACTGTCCTAACAGGGGAATTGTGAAAGAAATGGTTTAGTTTGTCGCCAGCGTTGTTTCAAATGGAGATTAAATACAAATATTTCCGAGAGAGTACGACAAAAGACGCTCAAGGGAAAGCAGTGAGGGGTTTAATGTGACTCAAAACATTTTCACACGACCTCAGAGAGATGCGAAATAATACAAGACTCTGAATAGTTTGCGCTACAGTCAATCATTCACCCACTGATGGTGGTGAGTGACATTGTGGCCACTGCACTCTGGAGTAGACTTACAGACATCGGTACCACAGGGACACATCTCAAACTGGTGGAAAACGGTGCCACATTTGTAAGGAGAATGCATTTGTGGATTAAGCAGAAAAGTTGAGGATGTTGGCTGCTCCTAAGAAAACATGCCAATTCTTCTTTGGTAATGTCAAGCAGTTCTGACTATTGTTTTGTGTCGTTTTTGGTTGGATTATTGAAGTTTAATGAATAGATTTTCTATTTATTTATTTAACAAACATGGCTCCAGCAATGCGTGGAAGAACTATTATCAAACACACCACCTCCTTCCCATGATGGTCACCAGATTAGTCACACACTGCTGAGGGACTGCATCCCATTCTTCAAACAGCATTTGTAGCAATATGGATGTGTTGGTGACTCCCCAAGCCGATCCTCAAAGTCTCCAAATAAACCGACTTTCTAAATGAATGAGGCTGATTGTCAACAAAAAGAACATTGTCTCCACATAACAACGACGTCATATGTCTAGTAAAATCAACTGAACACTCGTTTCTTGTTTAAATATACCTTGAGGAACAGATTTTTGCGTCGCTACGTGCACGTTGTGATATATCATCTCTCTGAAGTATTAGACACTCACCCCTGACTGAAGCCCTTCGCAGAGAGCCAGGCCTTCACCTCAGCGCTTGCCGAGTGGTAGTTCAGGGGGATCGAGATGCCAGCTGTGGAGGAAACCTCCATCTCTTCAAGCGAGTTCCTTTTTTTAGCCAGCCGCTGCAGAAGCTCATTGTTCATAACCCTGACTGTTAGAAGAGGGGGGAAAGAAATGTTATTCGGACTTGGAATAGAGAGAGATTTTCTGAAATATAATATCCTGACTGCTTTTTCTCTCAATTGTGTAATTTAGCCCTAAAAACCTTGGGGAAATTACTTTAAGTTGGATCAGAAAGGAAAAAAATCTGGTCCTAATTGTTTAGCCACATCAACACAAACCTCACAAATTTAACATAATTTGGCTACGAGGTGAATGAATAAAGGTGTTGCAACAGAAATTTAGTTATAATTCTCAAAATTACAAAAAATTAATAATTCTTGGTTATAAGGTTAAAGGAATTTAATTATCTGAATAATTAAATTAAGATAATAATTAAGATAAGATTAATTAAATTCAGATATACTTAATTAATCCCAAAAGGAAATGAAATACTTTTATTTTCATGTGTCATGCAAAGCAGTGTAGTAATCAGAGTTGTTGTCTGAGTGCCAAGGAGATCAACAGATCAACTTTCACAAGAAGAGCATTACTGATTTATGCTTTAGATTTATTTAAAATGCAACGGATAAGGAACCAAAAGGGAAAAAGAAAGGAAGGGAGGTGAGGTAAAAAGTTATTGGTGAAAGAAGGAGATGAGGATAGAGAGGAATAAATTAAAAAAGAAAACAACAGAAGTCTGAAATTAAATCTTGCGTAAACTCTCCAAGTTTCCTAAATGTTTACATTCCAAACATAGATATGTCATTTGTGTTTTTTACACTGATTTCAGTTTTCACATTTAAATTCCTGCATGGGTTGGTTCTATGTACCATTACCATAAATATTAAAACGTTGCTAATGACGCATAAGCGTCATTGGCAATTAGGACATTAGTAATGTCCTAATTATTTTAGGACGTAACTGAATGTTTAAAGGAACAGAGAGGAAGCAAACAAAATCTGCTGGTTTTTTGTTGGTCGTTGCTTTAACAGTAGCGCATTGCATGGACCGGCGTGTTACCTCGGTTGCCATCTTCTCTTGTCATGTTCGATGGCAGAATCATGCTGTGGGCTCGCTCTGCTCGGCTGGTCGCGGTCGGGCTGAACCCGTCGGTTCTCGATGAAACGTAGGAGAAACACCGAGGGGTGAGAGCCGTTTTCTGTTGAGAAAGAAGCGGGACTTATTCCAAACTGAGCCCGCAGAGTATTTTCTTAAACACAACCATAGCCGTGTCCGGACCTTTGACTCTGTTCGAAGAACCGGATGGATTTTCTGTCTGTTGTTCAATGCAGACAGAGGCTCCAGATTATTGCATGGCACAAGTCCTATCTCGTCATAACTATTCCGGCACTTCCAAAAGCGGTCCGACGATAATTCAAGGACCTAAAAAAGATAAGTTAAATCAGTTTCTGCCTTTACAGGTCAATGCATGTGTGGGAGTGCAGTATACCTCTAGTGTTTCCCCATGTAGTACGGAGAGTTCATCATTGTTTCTGGCCACAAAGTCGTAATTACAGTGATACAATCTCTCGCCGTTTGATGGGATCTCATTTTTATCTCTGAAATTACATTCAGACGTTTCGTAGCTCATGAAATAACATTGTCCAAGTGAAGTATAATTCCTTTGCATTCATTTGCTTTTATTTGCCCTTTCTTCACACCGATCTGACATCAAACCACAACAATAAAGTTCATCTGAATTTGGGAGGTCTATGTGCTGCTCATGGTGCAGCTTTAAAAGCTTTATGTATTTCTTTCACTATCGAAGAAAAGCCCTCGAAACATATTTAGCCACAAAGAGGACCAGGAGTTAAAGAAAGTAAAAAAAAACTCTGACCTTTTCATAACTCATGACGGCAAACTTCAGGTTTAAATAATTTTCTGGGATGCCATGACAAGTGGCTTGTAAAGAGAACTATCACACAAGCATCCTCTTATGCAGCTGAAAGTTCAATGAAAGTAGTAATGGTGTTTCCTTCTTTTGAAAATAGCTCAATTTAAGTGGGTGCTGAATATACTTTTCATTAATTTCTCATTTCTGCCTTAAAAATTTTTTTTATTGATCTAATGTAATGTTCTACTCCTAAATGTTCCATTTCCATTAGCTGCAAACTGAAAAAAAATCATCATAATTAACAAAAATAAGCACCACACACACATCAAATATATTTTTCCAATAACTAAACTCTTACCCTTTTTCAGTCCCTTCTCTGTAGTTCTTGGGCGCAGGTTGGACATGTTCCTGTTGACTTTGCTTCTGTATGCTTTCATTAAAAGCGTCCTCTTCGTGCTGCAACTGGATGGGATCTACCAGCAGCTGACCAGCTGAGTCGTGAGTCTGAGGCTGCCACCCGTCTAGGAAGACAGGCGAATATGGAGGAACAGAAACGGTCTGCTGCAAACTGAGGATGAGAGAGAGCAGGTCTTCTTAGAACAGAGCTGCTGTAAGCTGGAGCAGAGATTGCTGCAGAGAGAAGGACACAGACGCGTCTGAGGTCCAGTTGGGTCCCAGTAATTTCCACAGCTCCTTTTCCTCTCCAGTCAGGTGCTCTTGGAGCAGAGAAACAGCACCTCTGGTCATACATGGACTCTTCACGGATGCAGCTAATGTCGGGCCCTCAGTGGTCTTCACCATCTGTAAAGCAGACAATGGATGCCACTCAAGTCAAATTTTTTTAAAAAAGGGAAACACTAAATCAAACAGCCTCATAAAGTTGGTCCTACCAAGTTCAGAGGTAAAAAGATGTGGTGGAGCAGATCTGGTGCATCTGGTTGTGAGATGGACGACTTCAAGCGATCCTATATCAAACAGGAAATAGTTTTATGCATTGTAACATAACATGCTTTTTAATAACTTCCAAGAATTTTGTGTGGATGCTTGGTATATTACCAATAAACAGAAGGAGTATTTTATTTTCTGAAAGATGTCCACAAATTCCTGCTCAGACGGAGGGGTCGCTTTCTTGGTCAGCAAGTCTTTTGCAAGACAAGAGAGCGCAATCACAATTACAGCCATAGCTGCAGAGCAGAGCGTGTGCTCACTGTCTGAAAACTTTTGCAAACATGGGTAGGAGTTTAAACATTGTGACTCATCTGATAGGAGTGTAAAAAAATAACAACCATGCTTTATTTCCCAGTGACATAGTCACTGTGAAGTCCTTCACAGAAAGAAAATGTGAATTTAAAACAATATTTAAATATTCACACCCTCAAATTAAATGAGACTTTTTAATTGTATAATTTCAACTGTCACACTGTAAAAATAACATTTTATGTTGAATTAGCTTAGTTTGCTAAAAATTCACAGAACAGAAATGCAAGGAGGTTGCATTTCAGAGTATTGCACATTTTAAATTATACTGTAAATTTTGCAGCGAGTAACTTATTTATGTTTACAGTTAATTGTTATAAAAAGTTTGTTTTAATCGCTGTGAATATGTGCGTGGTCAAAACATTTCCAGACACATAATCCTTTTCTCCTCACATAAAATATTAAAGAAAAGAAAAGTGCTAAAGAACGACACGTCTTGTTGACATCAAGCCTCCATAACAATGTTAGGATCTACCTGTTCTGATTTAAGCCACTTCTTTTCTTTTTTTGTCTTAGCCTCACAAACTGAATTAATAATGCCATCTATCCACTAAAATTTGATCTAGTAAACAACAGATAACAATTTGTTGTGAATGTGGGTGTGTGCAGAGTTGCATAAGATGAGAACAAAACCAAAGTAACATTAGTTCAGTGATTAATCAGGTAGGAAGAGCAACATTACAGGTTGACTATCCCAAGTCAATAAGCCGCTCTAAAAGATTGGTTTGTTCTGCCCTCAAGACAAAAGGCGGGGTGTTTCACCAAATACAAGAATTTTCTGAATAACCTGGGAGCTTTTTCAGCAATCTATCCACTGGCTTGTTTTAGTGAATGCTAAAAAGGTTTTTCTTTGCCTTTTTCTGCTCTAATTACTTAGAGCTCAGGTTATGACCAGTCAATGCAGTAAATTATTTCACAAACTGAGTTTCAGATCATTTTTTTTTCTGTTTCCCAGCTTTGTGGTCAACAGAGTTTAATTTGCATGTACCAGCTGGTACCTTGTTTGTCATTTTTGGTGCTTTTCTTGGCACTCCGTTTGGTCCTTTGGTTGAGAATGCTCCGGGCCTCCGCGGTTTGTTGCAAGCGAGCCATGAACCTCTCGATGTCGTCAAAGCAGTGATTCAAGATTTCCTGAGAAATATTAAACACAGGTTGCCGCTAAATAAGCAATTATTACACAAGATGTGTAAAGTAACACCTTAGATGTCAAAAATATTTTCAGACATGTGGCTCCATTCTCATAATCTTTGAAGATAATATTACCTAATTACCTATAAGCAAAAAACTATTCAGTATATCATAAAATTTATCTTTTCTTGTGCTCTTTTTTCACTTTTGGTCAATATCAAAGAAGAATGCATATCTAATGTCATTCTTATTGTCTTCTTGATTTATCAGATTTAATCCGCAGATACTATAATAAGGAGAATTGTGGACTTTACTAAATATCCACATTTTCAGACTTACAACTTCTCTTTCTGCAGTCATCAGCTTTTTGTGGCTTGACTTCCCGCTTGTGCCGTTCTCTATGCCAACACAAAACAGACACATTTACGGAAAAACTGATACACATTACAGATGCGCTCAGTTCAGATGTTCAACTCAACCCATGTCGTCGAGAGAAATGGTGCAAATTGTCAATGTGGCCATAAATACCTCTTTTAGGGTCTGTGATGATGGGCAGCCCATTGGGACCATGTAGCTCTCGAAGTGGAGTCAGCACTTTGACCCCAGAAGGCTTTCTTGGAATCACTTGAGGAGGTGATGTCGACATTTCTTCGATGCAGATGGGAGCAAAGTAAAGTAAGTTCCCAGTACAAAGTAGGAGAACTGAATGACATTTGCTGGTTCTTCCTGTAAAGCTTTACAATAAGACTGAATGCAAATATATTTTAAAAGCAGGAGCACAACCTGAAAATATTTAGGGATTTGAACCTCATCAAATCATTTAGAGTCGACTGTAGATTTATTCAAGAGAGAAAAAATGAGATATTGTGTTAGAGAATATTTGTTTTTTACAGAAATCTGCAAGTAAGACCATGACTGGTGATGCCAATAATTTTGCCAACATGTGGTTAGATTAATGACTGCATGTGAAAGACTTTTTCGTTTGGGAATGTTTACTCATTTTATACATTGCAACACTGTGTATTTAAGTAAAAAATATTTTTAAAATATTAAACTAGTTCACCGGTTTCTACATTTTAAAGGATTTGCGAGCCCACCTTTGAAAAAAGTCAAACCATCAGGTGGTAATCCCGAATCTGTTTCAATAAAATGGGGTTAACACACGATGAGACGTTGTGATAAATTGATAAATCCACCACATTATGAACATTGGGATGCTTTAAAGTGTACCATTAAGTCAGGATTAGCACAATTTGTGGAAGCCTTTAATTAAATTTGTTCTCACATTTTAACACCTGGATGATTTTGTCTGAAATATTTTTAAAAATGGTATAAAAAAAACTTGATTGTACGGCTGACCTCCTTATCTCAGGTTATTGCCTAACAAAGAAGTTCTGTTTGGAAAGTTTTCTCCTGGGTGTGATTCTCTGAAAAATGGCAAATAAGTAAATTCAGGAAAAACCACCATGACCAGTAGGCATGCAGGTGACACAACCACCAGAATCTAAAGAGAAACTTTTACTCATTGAATAAAAAAAGATGAGTCGTTTCAGGGTATCACTGTGGGGTTTTTTTTATCTTTCTTTCCCCCTAAGCTGTTATTTTTCATGAAATGAAGAAATTATTCTGATGTCACAAGCTGGCGTTTTGATTTCCAAGAACACCTGTAATCTGTTACTGGCAAAAGCGGCTGGTGATCGACAGGTGCATCTCCATATTCATTTCTCATTCCCTTCATTATTTTCCCTCCTCATCCAAAATTTTTAAAAAAGAGAAATAATTTTATGTAAAATCAAGATTCATCACTGTACCTTTTGGTGAGATGTGAGCTTGTCAGTCTAGGTGGCAGTCACCACTCCTCCCGCTGAGCCGTATGAGCACAGAGTTTTTGTTGTTCACAAGAGGACGTCCTACCTTCTTGAGATGTGTCAGAACAAGTAAAACAAGCTTTTCTTCTGCTGTCTCTCTCCGTTGCTCTCCCTTGATTCTCCAAACACACACACACACACACACACACACATAGCGTCCTGCCTCTCTCTCTTTCTCTCTCTCTTTCTCTGTGTAATTGGCAGCTTCTTCCTCCTTTTGACAGGTATTTGTGTCACCTGCCTGTGGCTTGCTCCACAAGGTCAGCCAAAAAGTGCAAAAGATGCCATTCCAGGACTGTTTTCAGTCTGCTTAAAAACCCTGCCAACAGGCAATTTCATTTGAAACTATTGTAGAAAAAGCTAGAGTAAAACAGTCATTAAAAACATCCCTCATTATGTAATAATGAGGGATTGAAAAATATAGACTTATATACTCTTTGTTATGCTCGCGTTTTTTGGGCACTCTTTAAAAAAATATATTTATCTGATCCAACAAATAAACCAAATAATTACAGATAATTTGCAGAAAAGAGTTTAATGATTTCAATAGTTGCTGTAGGAATCAGTGGGGCACTGTATGTAGTGACCACTAGGGGCTCATTTCTCTAAAATAAGAAACAGATCTTGAAAATCAATCAATTAGATTCATTGATTCTACATAGAGTTTCAGAATAAAGCTGAAAGTTTTTGATAAGATTACAGAAACGTGGTCAATACAGAGAGTCAATACTCAATATCATTGAGTTTTACAGAACAGCAGACTGTGTGTAACGTTGAGGTGGACTGGTTTCATTTATGTAAGTGAGGAGTGACACCAACTGGCCATTGGGTCAACATATCAGAGTGACTCTTCCGAATGCCTGCATGGTTAAATGTACAGACAGAAAACAGAATCAGATGCACTCTGGACATGATTAATAGCTTCATTGAAAATGACAGAAAATTGTGTTGTTGTTTTTTTCAAACTCATTCTCATATTGAAAAATACTAAACAGTTCTTACAGTTTGTAATTTCACAATATGGCAAATAATTTTAACCACTGAATGAGAAGAAGAAGAAGAGCTTTAGGGCGATCTTTGACTTTCACACTTAATTTAAACCACTGCCAAGCTATTGTTATATCCTGATGCCAGAGGAAACTAACAGCATCAGGTTGTTTATTCAAGGCTAAAGGAGGTATGAGAAAAGAACACAAGCGTTCAGACGTGACAATATGGAGCAGCATGTTGTCAGTCTCGCTATGAAAATTAATGCCACGACTCCTGATCACACACATCCAAGGTATTTAAAGCCACAATGTCGATGTTGGGTCCGAAAGATTGCTTTGATTGAGAAATGTTCTGTTGTTGTTGCTTTATGGCATTGAGAAACATTTACCATGAGGCTGAAACATGCTGAACTTGATCAGATTACATCCCTGGAGAGAAGCACATACTTGGCACTCTGAGATGGTTCAGGAGGAAGGAAATTAAAGTCGAACCATTTTGGGAATGCAATGCATCAGGTTTTCACACAGCAACATTAATATATATTCACACAAAACAAACTTCCTGCAGTGAAAAACAACAAAGGATACATCAAGTTATTGTTGGAACAAACAAATGAGGAAATCAGTGAATCACCACATTGAATCACCACATTGACACAGATCGGACCGTGCTATCCATTATCAAAGCCATGTTAAAATTGAAATCTGAAATTAAATCCCAGTTAGAGGCTTTACTGGCTCATTACTGATGATTGCTCTTAAATCCTCACCTTTTCGATTTAAAGCTGTGTTTGGATGGAAATGACTTCACCACCAGTCTCAACTTGCTTTAATTACAAGACAGACGACCGACAAGATTTGTCACTTTTATTGCTAACTGACCAAATAGCAATATTTTTTTGCATTCTACTGATTTAAACATGAAAGGAACTTAATTACAACTAGATATTGTACAGGACTCCACATTTGTCATTTGTTTAATGAAATATAAGCAACTAAAAGTGAGAAAAAAACAGTTTATTCCTGTGATTTTCTTGATGTTCCACTCAAACTGAAGTTTCAGCTCAGACGTCTGACTTTTGCTGTTTAATTTTTTTATATATATTCAGGACGTTTTCCAGTTCATATTTTGGGATGCAGAACTCATAAATCTGTTCTTTTCCACCTACAAAGGGAATATTTTTTGTTGGCTAATGAAAGTGCAGCCACAGATTTCTTCTTCATCAGCCTCTTACCCTTTTCTTTCTTTTTTTTTTTTTATGAAAATTTATACTTTTCCAGAAGTTGCTTGGTTTATGTTTGGATTAGAGAACATTTAAAGAAGTAATGATCATATTTTCTTCTTTTAATTGTAGTGTTTCATTGGCTACTTGCTTTTGGTATTTTTTCAGTTTTTTATTTATAATAACAATATTGTTGTTGTTGTTGCTATAATAATAATAATAATAATAATAATAATAATTATTATTATTATTATTATTATTATTATTATTATTATATATATTATTATATAATATAATATAATAATAATTATTATATTATTATTATTATTATTATAATAGCAATGACCGACAAGATTTGTCACTTTTATTGCTAACTGACTTAATAGGTCAGTTAGCAATAACTGACCTATTAGGTCAGTTATTGCTATCTGTGCTTTATAATTGCCTGGAAAATACACAACATGTAATTGAACTAGCAGAGATGATGAAATCCCTGCAGCTGGATTTGGTGTAAAACAAAGAATGAAAAAAGTGTCTCATGCCTGATATTAGGATCAGGCATGAGACACTAATAATAATAGTAATAATAATAATAATAATTATTATTATTATTATTATTTATTTTATATTTTTTTTTTGCATTTCTTTCTTATCTTGAGAAGCACAGTGTAACCCGTCCTTCATAATAATTTGCAAGATTGCAAGAGTTGGAATATTTTATTTTATTAGCAAAGGATTTTTTGGTGAAAAAATAAATAAATAAAACATTTTTGAAGTCAAACATGTTTTATCACAACTTTAACAACATTTGGTTTCACAACCAAAAAAATGGGTATTTACTCAACAGAAATAATTTCCAATTGGACATTCTTTACAGGTGATTTATTATGCTTCCTTGAACAGGGAGGCTATCAAAACAAGTTTATTACATGTTTTGCACAAAATTGTTCTTAGATAATGAGACTTTAGTCAACTCAGTTTGGACTATTTTGACCTCCTTGCAGAATTAACTGTTTTGTGACCACTTGTTTCTTTAAATCCAAATAAGCTGCTGCTGGCCCAATGTTTTCTCTGACACCTAAAAATGACTGCAAACAGGTGTGCAATTACGCAAGAGTACATCTTTGAAAAGCAAAAGTAGAGCCTCCTGCACAAACAACAACAATGTAGCAAGTGGTTTCTGACTGGTAAGTCAATAACAAAAGCCTCAATTTCTCTTCCAGCAGCCATTGTAAAGCACATCCCACATGAAAACATGCCTGTAACTCAGCTTGTGTTGCCAGGGAGCGGGCTGAGTTCTGCTGGGGTTGCTATGCCTGTTGATTTGTGACGTCACATTCCAGAGGTTGTTGAAATGGGCAAATTTTCAGATACCAAAATTTAAAAAATGTAATTTTTTTTTTAATCCACTAACTTATTGTCAAAAAATGGCAGGGTGGGGTTTTATAAGTACTAGTGTTGTTTGTTTTAGAAACAACAGGAGCACAAAATCGTGCAAAACGTGAAATTTTCAAACAGGTTTTGAATCCCCATTAAAGAATATGGATTAAAAATGGAATGCTTTCTCAAAAAAGTAGCTTCCGTTTATTGTTAGTTGCAATACTCGTTATGTTTATTCAAAATATTTATTTTATAATCAAACATTTTTAATGCATTCATGTAAATCACACGTCTATTAAGATGCCAACACGCCTGTCAGGGAGTCTTGGTCCCTTTAATTCATGCAGCTGAGCAGCAGCAGCAGCAGCAGGAGTCTCTCCTCTGCAGCGTCGTCCTGCCCCGCTGCTCCGTTTTTGGGACGGGCTCCTCATTGGCCCAGCTGTCGGAGCCGCTCCTCCGCTTCTTCTTACGGGTTGAGTCGACAGTTTGTTCCAGCTCACAAAAGTGCCTCTGAAATTCCCCAAAGCTGCGCGGTGGAAAGTTTTCCCCCAAGCCAATAAATTATACGTGTTACCCAGACAAAGCGTGAAGCCAGAACACAGAGAAGACTCGGGGGAAGCTTTGTGAGAAGAAGAGCAGAGAAGTCAACACCAGCAGCGGGACTCCTGGAAACTCCACTCCACTAGGGGACCGTGCACTCTCTCTCTCTCACATGGTATGTCCACAACACAGCGTTGTTTTTTTGCCTTCACTCACTACAAACGCGACTTTAATGTCCTGCCTCTCTCTGCACACAACTCCCGGCCCCAGCTTTCCAAAGCAAAATGTCATCGTTGCTCTCATAATTTACAGTTATCTAACTTTTCCATCAGTTAAGCTGCAGGAGTTGCTTTAACTCTGCGGGTTGCCTCCCTATAGATAAAAGTTTCTGTGCATTTCATGCAAACTGTCCCAAGTGCCAAAATGTTTTTTCGCCATGTTTAAAAACGCAGCTGTCTGCAGCTGCAGACAAGTCAAGCTGTGTCTTAGTTTTCTGTTAATCCAGAGCCTATTTTGCACTGTTTCTGTCTATACACTGCACCGTTAATGGTTAATATAATTAAATTACTTACATAACGCCCTGCATATTGACTTGATTGTGAATACTCTGAAATTCACAGGGTAACATATGTTACTAAAACTTCATTTGTATCATTTTTAATTAAATACAATTTTTTTTTATTATTTATGGTTATATGTGCAGCAGCCGAAGGTATCTTCTACCAGCAATGATGTAAAATATAGGTGGGAGTGGTATGTGTGTGTGTGTGTGTGTGTGTGCATTCATGATTGACATCTGTGTTATGCAATGTTCAGGGAAAGAGTATCTTATGTATATGCAGTATACATGCTGTATACACTGTTGATTTAACACATACAAGAACTTTTTCCAAGGAATTGCTTATACAAAGTTTGTGCCTCACGCTTCAATCAGTCAACAATATATTGTTTACAATGTAGTTTTTATTCTGCACTTGTAAAATAGATATTTTTTTACATTTGTTTTGTGTGCTAAGATAATTTTCGCTGACATTGCAGATTTGCACGTTGATCTCATGGCGGCTGACTTAAAAGTAGCACCTGGCAGAATTACTTATGCTGCACAAACCCTTTCAGCTTGTCATGTTAACTCTACAGATGTAAAGGTATTTTATTTTGATTTTTACCTTAAAGATCAACACAAATAAACCATTTTGGGAAATAAAAATATGAAAGTGCCAGCTAAGAGAGCCTTTAGAAGTCCCTGGTTGTTGATAAATTGAAGTTTGAGGTCACAACATGACAAAACATAAAAACGTTCAAAAGTTAGGAAGCGTTCTTCCAGGTGATGCATATCAAGGGCTTTATAGAAGACCTTGATATTTCCATGCTACAGCTATTCCTACCATGAAAAGACAAAAAATCTGAATATCTTAAGCTGACCTTAACCTTGAGGATCCACAAGTGGCACAACCCCCAGCACCTAGTTTGTGTGTAGGTCTATTTATGAGTGTAGGTCTTTGTAAAGTTCATGTTTATTTACTGTGTAAATTTAGGGAAGTGTGGGTCGTGAGGATAGAGACTAATGTTCACAAAGCTGCTTTTCTTGTCATTGTCGTATTGATGCTTAAGAGAACCGTCCCAAAACAATCCAGTTCTTAGTGATAGGAAGGTTTTTACTGCTTGAGTTCTGCAGGTTGGATTAGGCTCAGAGTTGTGGTCACCTGTTTTCTACCTAAACCCACAGAAAGCTCCCACTTCAGCAGAAACAGAAATATACCAGCGCTCTTTGTGAAAGCTTGTGCGACTGCGGGCGTGGGATGGGTGTGTAGGGGGAAACAGACCCTTGGGAAAAGTGTAATTTAGGGTTAGCCAACTATAGGAAAGAGAAAAGAAATATGCTCTAGTTGTTTTACATTACAGTCACAGTATAGGATTGCAGGTTTTGAGGTTTGTTGAGTTCGAACTGGTCGTTTAGTTTTAAAACTGAACCAGGTATCATCATCATTTGCATTAACTTAGCTCAACACTTTATTATATTTTTCAATTACCAGTTTGTCTGAATTATTTTTACTATCAGAATCACAAATTTGTATTTTTGAACATCTATATGAAATGATAAAAACATGAGTACTGGTTCAAATTAGGGGTGCACCGATTTCAGTCTTCTGGCCGATCATCAATTACCGATCTTAACCTGCCGATTCTGATTTTTGTCGATACCAATTTTTTTTCGTCTAAAATGTTGCACAATATAGCAGGAAAGTTGTTGAGTTGATAAAAGTGCAGTTATAACTTGGTGGGGCCGGTCTGTCACTCAAACCTTTCTCCACAGAGAGCAAAAGAGGATAGTGGTTGATTCTTAGATATTTGCCAAGCTAGATACGATCGGTGGATAAGATGAGCTTCATATGTAAAGATCATCAATCTTCCAAAATTAAAGAAATCGGCACCATAAATTGGTGCACACCTAGCTCAAATAAAACCTTATCTCAGTTTTATTTTGCTCTAACTCTAATAAATGTAACTAACTATTGGAACTACAATAACCTTCTAATTTGTACAGAATTACATCTTGAATCCTAATTTTTAGGTCCCAGGATTATGAGTTTTAAGTTTCGATAATAATCAACCGCAGCTTTTCTTCCACTTTTTTTCCAGCTTCTCCTACGTCGTGGCCTTCTCGTGCACCTCAGCACCACCCACAGTCCCAACCAATGCAAAGCCAACACCTCCCAACAGACTTTCTCCTCCTGATCCCACTCAGTGAATGGCTGCTCTTAGCCTGCCGTCCCCACCTCTCTACTCGTATACGCATATTTTTGTCACAGTCTCACTCTCTTCTGCCTGTGTGTATTTATTTCTGAACACACCTGCCCTATCTGGCTGTGTTTCTTCAACAGGCTTTCTGGGTCAGACGCCTCTCGTAATTTTCCATTCTGACTCGTTGATACTGACAAAGGGGGCTTGTAAACCATCTGGCTCAGAAGTCCCAAAGCCTGCTTGAGTCGTGTTAATCCGTTTTGGACCAGGCCGGCTCATATGAGCTGACTGGAGCTGCGGACGTCCAGCAGGGAGATTCAGCCGCTCATAAGTGAGCTGCTGCATGTGATATTATTTATGTTTAATAAGGCTTTAAAGCTGACTTTGAGGTTTGAGCCTGTTTGTAGTTTAAATCTACTAAATTTTAGGTAGTAGGGTTTTTTTTTTTGCTCCTTTTTTAAAGTTTTGACTAAATTTCATTGGTGTGGTTTGATAAAAAAAAAACACACACAACAATGACTGTTGTGTTTAAGCACAGTAGAGTAAAACAACTGTCTGGACTGTGTATAGGGATCATTTCTAAATATGGCAATGTCTCTGTTCTTATCAGTTTAATGTCTGATAAAGATGCTGCATATTAAATTGATTCATGGAAGAGGGAGATGGAACAGGGCTTATCACTCCATCCACTCCACACATCAACCTGGAACTGCAATACTTCCAGGATCGGTGCATCCTTCCTGTTCATGCATAATGATGTATTAATGTTGGATGATGAAGAAACGACGTACCGTTCCAGGAAAAACGATTAGCCACAGTGGACATGCTAACTAGACTAAGCATTCAACGTACGTTGTGGTGAATCAGCTGTAACTGGGGAAGGCTGGGAGCAGCTCATACATGAGAGTGATTTACAGCGCTAAAGCCCTCCCCTTGATTGTCATTGGCTGTTCCTAATAGAGCAGTGAATTTGCTCAGATAACAGCAGAACCATAAGATAAGGCAGAGGAGCTTGATTTGTGTCAGATTTCCCGTCTATTTGGACTGAAATAGATTTTACAATAACTTTTGCCCCCAAAGTGAAACCAGCCTGCACTGTGCAAACTTAATATTTGGCTTTTAAGATTGATATTTAATTAATTTTTAAAAAATTTATAAAGTCCCTTGAGATAAAATCTATTCTTTGAAAGATTCTTGGCAAAGAGGCATCTCAGTGTACAGAATATAAAACGATAATTCAAAAGTAGATGTTTGTCATCAGTCATGTGGTGCATGAACCTTGTGATACATGTTGTGTCAGAGAAAATCTGACTGAGTGAAATTAGATGTTTCAATTCTTTCACATTAAGTTGATAAACCATAGAGACGTTTTATTGTACATAAACACCATGCAGCCCTACATATACGCTGCTAAAAAGTCTTTGTAAAAGCAGCTCTTAATCAAAAGCATTTCAGTCTTTCATTCTTCAAGGTTAAAATGTTTCTTCTCTCTGTTTTGTTTTTGCTGCCTCTAGTAGCTGTACCTTAAACTGAGCTTTCCAGGAATGCAGAGTTTCAGAACCACCTCCTCTATAAGTTCACTGAAAAGCTCCAATATTGTATTTGGAGGTTTCAAACTTTTTCTTGGCACGTTTCTCACACAAGTCAAATATGAGGTGTATGTTTAGGGTCGCGGACTTTGACACCTACAGCCATCGATGTTATCTTGAGCTAAATTTACCAGGTTGATCAGGTTTGGACCAGTTGGCACATCTACTGATGATGTATTTCTTTACAGTGGATGGATCTGATTCATTTCTGAATAACCTTGGAGATCTTTACAAAATTTTTGGACATCAACATTAAGTGAAGGAACACAGCTGACAAAAAATTAAATATCAAAGGTTAAAGGTGCCGGTTTGTCAGAACAGATTAATAAGAGGCTCTTAATGTGTAACACATGGCTTAAATGTTATGTTATTGAAAATTAAATGATGGTCATCTTTCATTTAGCTCATCCCAGTTTATCATATTCTTTGATCGCTGTGGAAAATTCTCAATTTTTTTAACAGCCCCACCTTTAATTGAGTAAAAATACTGGGCTTCAATTCAAATTTGGATCCTTGTCCAGTTTTGGCAGTTGTTGCTCTAATTGTAAATATATGACGGTTTAGATAGGAAGCATTTTTCTGCAACTACTTCTTGACTTGAGAAAATCAGCATTTATCTGTCCTACCTGGACAGATAAATGCATCCCTAACATCACTGGTTAGGGATGCACCTGTGAAAATACCGGATGAATGAATGTCCACAACTTAAAGAGTGGATTCTTCTTCATTTTTCAATGTGAGTTGATGCTACTGCAAGAAATGACTAAGTTTTTTCAAGGCTTTTTCAACTTCTTCGTCTGGAAACCCAATACATGTATTTGACCTGAACTGGATTGATATCCTTTAGATTTATCACTCTGCTTCCTTTGTTTTTGATTAGATGGAGAAGCCTGCTCTGGGTTCCAGTGAGGAGAGAACCTGGCTGGGAGAGAGCCAGTCTGAGGTCCAGCTTGCAACCACTCCTGACCCAACAGAGCCAAATGATGACGATCGACCGGCCTGGGATTCTAAAATCCAGTATGTGTTGGCTCAGGTGGGCTTCAGCGTGGGCTTGGGGAACGTCTGGAGGTTTCCGTACCTTTGCCACCAAAATGGAGGAGGTAACGACCTTTCAATAAAGAAAGTACTCTGGAGTTAAACATAGAAAACCTTTAAGACATTTAAACATTTAATCTTGTTGTTAAATAAAAAGGAAACAGTCATTTCATCTTTTTTCTTTCAATTCTTCCAGGGGCCTTTATGCTTTTGTATGTTTTTCTTTTACTGATTGTGGGAGTCCCCCTGTTTTTCATGGAGCTGGCAGCTGGCCAAAGTATTCGACAGGGAAGCATTGGCGTATGGAAGCACATCTCTCCGAAGCTGGTGGGGATCGGCTACTCCAGCTGTGTGGTGAGTGTTGCTCCTTTAGGTTGAGGCATGTAAAAGTCACGTGGAAGCTAGAAAATCCTGTTTACTGTACTCGCTGTTTGCATGTGTTAGTTGAAAGATTATTGATCGGTGATAATAATATTTAAAGGAATCAGACCGAGTTCGGTCTGATTAAATAAACTGTATATCCTGTGTCTTCTGCTGATTAGCCTGTGGTGTTTCTTTTGTCCCAAGGTCTTTGAACTAACTCTCTTTTGATCAGTGGAGGTAGTGTGTATATACTTAGAGATGGTGGTGATTTCATTTCATGCTGTAACTTGAGAGCAGAGCAGATCGCTGTAGCTTTTTTGCTGTCAGACTGTTGTGTAACACTTTCCTATGGAGACAAGACAAGGCTACCTCACAGCCCAAAGAGAATACATAGTATGTCAAAGGAGTTATTGTTTTTTATAGAAATCAATTCTTTTTCTTTGCTTTCTATCTCATTTTCAATCCAGTAAATTGCATTTGCTATGTGTCTTAACAAAGACATACAATTTCACCTGACTTTAAGGTTCCCCTATTTAATTTGGAATATGTGGATTTGGAAACAATTACGTGTAAGCATTTAGGTGGAAGTGTCATAGTTTGGGATGCTTTGCTGCAGCAAGACCTGGTTACCTCCATAATGTGTATCAAATATTGAGGAAAATGGGAAGCTATCTGTTAAAATATGAAGAAGACCTGGATTCCACCGGAGAACCATGACCCCTAACATACCAATAAGTCCACCAAGGACAGACTGGGAGTCAAGGAATGGAAAGTTCTGATCAAAACCAAAACCAGAAAGTTGATCTCATTTAGATTTTATGGTTTTACCTCAGATGTTTTAAGAAAACCATCAAACATGTCACAATGGGTCTGCTTTACTCAGACTGGTGTTAGAAACTGGTTGATGGCAACATCAACCAGTAGCCATCAACACCAGTTCATGACTTCATCAGCACTTTCTATTTTAAGGGGGGTCATGTGTCTCTGAAGGCTGCTCTCACTGGCAGCAAAAAAGGTTTGAAGTCGCAGCGTTTTGACTAAAAATGTCTTTAATAATCACTTTTAGGCAGTTGGTTCATTTTATTTGACTACATTTTAGAATATCTTTGTAAATTTTATCAACTGATATATAAGACACAGAGGAATTTCTAGGGATTTGTACATCTTTAAGAAAAATCTGTTGAAATTAAGTTGCACTTTTTTAAACAACTTTGAGTATTTTTTTTCTATGTTTATTTTTAAATTAAACATCCTAATCCTAATTAATAAAAAAAGACCCCAATTAAAAAAGGTTTGTTCTAGCTAACCAATGAATGTATATGTAAAACATTGGTATTTTTCTGCAGGAAGCGCTTTGTTTTGAACGGATTTAAATGAAACAACTAATTCTCTGCTCCATTGATCTTAACACCAAAGTCAGTCATTAGTTCAGTTCATAGACTCGTAAACACATGGTGCAAAACTTTCCCACTTATCCGTCTATTTGTTCTTGTCGCTGACCTTTTCAAACATCACTCCAGGAGTGTCTGGCTCCAGGGAGAACAGCCTTTAGAGACACATGACCCCCCACCCAGCGCTGGAAACATAAAGCCATTCACTTTCTACCAGCAAGGAGGACAGAACCTCACTGGGACAATGTCCAGCAGCACAGCAGCTCAGTGAAATGCATTTATTCTTTTTGATTTGACTCATTGATCACAGGGTTTGTACATATTTCAGACTAGTTTCAGTTCATTTGTTTGCAGCCAAAAATAGTATAAGATATTTTTTTTTGCTTCCTTTACTGCAGGAATGAGGCTCTCTCATGTCTTTGTGACTAACAGTAGTGACTTTGGTGCAATGTATGCCTTCAAAGTGTGGTAAATGGGTAATTATAAAAAAAGGGCCAAATCAGAAAATCTATCCATAGCAGTCCATACTAAGTTGATTTGAAACATTGCTTCACCTCTTATGTTGCACCTGAATGATTGCTACAGCACTTAAACATTCATAATAGAGCATTCCCATAGATGCATCTGCTATTGAGTTACTAAAACAACAAAGTCTAAAGAAAGATTTTTAATTAACTTTTGTTTGAAAATAATGAAAAGTCCTTTTAGGACCACTTCATTCCTAACAGTCATAATATAAACCATTTTTCTTCTTCCTCAGGTTTGTTTTTATGTAGCTCTTTACTATAACGTCATCATTGCATGGAGTCTTTTCTACCTGGGAAATTCCTTCCAGTATCCTCTGCCATGGGAACAGTGCCCCATTGATGGAGGCACCAATGAAACAGGTACGAGCATAACAGAGAAGTTTAGTCAAACATGTCATGTAAGCACCTAAACTGTTGTCTGTCTTCAATGAACAGTAAAGGAATGTGCGAGTAGCTCTCCAACGCAGTATTTCTGGTTCAGGAAAGCGCTGCACATCACCAATTCGATAGAGGAATCTGGAGAGTTTAACCCCATCATGACGGGATGCTTGCTGGCTGCTTGGGCGATCGTGTCGCTGGCTATGATCAAGGGCATCAAGTCCTCTGCAAGGGTGAGAGAATACCAACCTCAACAATCCTTACATCATCACTAAGTGTGGATAAATTTGGATGCTTTGAGAGAAAAATTATGTTCTTGGAAATAAATCTTTCTATCTTTCTTCTCACCTTAGGTGATGTACTTTTCCTCAGTTTTTCCCTATCTGGTGCTCTTCATTTTCCTCATCAGAGGGATGTTATTGGATGGAGCCATAGATGGAATCACATATATGTTTTATCCCAAAGTAAGAAGGCCAGATATGTTTAGTTCTAGAAAATCTGTATTAAAAACCCTAATAGGGACGTTTTTTTTTTATGAGATCTGTAATATTTTGCAGCTTGAGATTTGGGGGAACGTACAGGTGTGGCGCCAGGCAGCTACACAGGTGTTTTTTGCATTGGGTCTGGGCTATGGCTCTGTCATCGCATATTCCTCCTACAATCCAGTCCACAACAACTGCCACAGGGATACCCTGATGGTCTCCAGCATCAACTTTATGACATCCGTACTGGCCTCACTGGTGGTTTTTGTGGTGCTGGGTTTCCGGGCCAAAACCATCGCCCTCCATTGTGTTGCTGAGTATGTATACCTAGGGGGTAATGTTTCAATCTCACTGTCAGAATTTTATTATCTTCTCATAAAAACCGCCTTCGTAACATTTGTTCCTTTATCTCAACGTCTTCCAGAAATCTTGGTGTGCTAAATCTCATGTCCTCTAATGGATCCAGCCAGGACTGGTGGCCTTGGTTCAACGTTACGGATCCGAGTTCTGTGTCTTTACCTGAATACAGACAGTGGTACCATGAGCACGGCTCCACTCTGGGTCCTCAGTTCACTGACTGCAATTTGGAGGAGGAGATGAACAAGGTAACACTCAGAATGAATAAACTCAACTCAGCATATCATGAACAAATAATAAATATACTGCCTTGAAAATTTCTCCATATAAGTGATGACAATAAAAAAAGACAGAGGAACTTGGTGTCAATTGTTGTGTTATGTAGTTTGACCTTATTATATAAATATAAACATATAGTATAAAATAATTAGTGAAAAATGAAATCAGGCAAAACACAAAAACCTTTCCAGTTTCGTTAAGCATTTTTAGAAGTACAAATTCACCCATTTACCAAAACGGTAACAATAACATTTATTATATCATTAAATTAAAAAATATATACTGATGGATGAACAAATCCATAAGTATGGGGATCGGAAAATTAAAATTAGAATAATTTTAATTATTCTAATTAAAATTTGAATAATTTTAATTTAATACTTTTTTTATTCATTAAAAAAAACCTTATGGATGAACAAATCAAAATCGGGAAATAAAATTGCTGCATAAAGTGAACCATGGCACACTTAACTGAGGTTTTGTCTTCTGAAATCATGAATGCTGTTACAACATGTATATTAAACGTCTTATATACCCGATTTTATAAAGAATTCACTTAAAATAACATATGAAATACACTAGTTGGTAGGTAAATGTGTGTACATAAAGTAACTCTTAGCAGTCGGTGATTCGTACAGTTTTCCTATCTTGGCTTGATGTAGATCAGATGTAATAATAGAAACACATAAATGTGCATTGAGTTAAAACAGTAAAGATAGAAAAAAAACTATTGTTCCCTTGGATGAGAAATAGGAGCCATAAGAACATGCTGCTTGCAGGAGGCTTGTGTTACTCAGACAAATATTATACGATATGCTTTTATAGAGACAGAGGACATCCTGCTATCTTCCAGTGTTTATGTTGTGTAAATAATCGAGAGTCAAACAAAGAGCTGCAGGAGGAATATTCAGTATAATGTGTACAGTTTCAGTCTCTCTGCAGTCTCTTCTTTGTGTGTGCGCAGGGCGTTGAGGGGACGGGCCTGGCATTCATAGCGTTCACTGAAGTCATGGCCCTCTTCCCGGCCAGCCCCTTCTGGTCCACGCTGTTTTTCCTGATGCTCCTCAACCTGGGCCTGAGCACCATGTTCGGGACCATGCAGGGAATCCTCACGCCTCTCATGGACAACTTTAAACTCCTGGGCCGCCATCGGACCCTTCTCACCGGTACTACAACACATCCTCAAAAAACTCAGTGTGCACTGTGGGATTATAATGAATTGTTGAACATTATTTAAAAATACAGGCCTTTCCAGCAAAATGTATGAGGTTCCAGTTGAACTTTTCCACATTTTATGCCATTATAACCACATACTTGATTTGTATTTTATTGGACTTTTACACTTTTGATTGTAAAGTAAAAAAATAAGATTATATATATATTTTTAGATGGAGAATACATTTTCAAGTCTTGTGTCTTATTGGTGCATAGTTTCTCTGTTTTAGACAGTGTTTAGTATGGTTGCATTCAAAGTGTTCAGCTTCATTATGACCAGGTACGTTACTTTTCTGTGACATCATCATCATATATATTTGGGGCAATTGAGAGTAAAGGAGGTTAAAAACAAATGCACTCTGGACTTTTCAGATTTTTATATGTGGAAAGTTATCACATATACATTGCATTTCTACCACGTTACACTTTATGCACTTTGTGTTTTAAATTTAATCTATGAAATAATTTATGTTGAGCTTTGTGGCTGTAATGTGACAAAATCTAAAAAGGTTGAATGATTGTGTATTTTCAACAGCAGTACATATAAACAATATAAGTGAATAAATATTGTATTAAATATTTTTCGCCATGCTGAAATAGCTGTCTTATTGTGTCTTTTTCCTGTTTATCAGTGTTCAGCTGTGCTTTGGGATTCATAATTGGATTATTGTTCACCCAGCGATCTGGCAATTATTTTGTGACGATGTTTGACGACTACTCTGCAACACTACCTCTTGTTATTGTTGTGATTTTCGAAACAATCAGTGTGGCATGGGTTTACGGCACAGATCGGTAAGAGACAGAAATTGCTTGCAAAAATACAAAAATAAAATCTTTGCCTAACTTTTTTATGACCATTTTTGCCTCACTTGAGCAAAAAATAGCATCTTTGTGAAATGTTTTCTATCTCTGCAGTTTCCTGGATGATATTGAACTCATGCTCAAGTGGCGCCCTCCAGTGGTGTACAAATATCTGTGGAAATACGTGTGTCTGCTGGCAATGGTTGGTCTCCTTGCTGCCAGTTTACTGCGAATGGTTTTCAAGGGACCCACGTACACTGCCTGGAATCAGACCGCAGTAAGACTTGCCTTTTCAGTCAGACAAATTACAAAAATATTTAAGGCTAAAGTTATATTTTATATGTCAGTCAAGTTCTATTCAAAATATAAAGAAATGAGAAACGTATCAGTAGTCAAGAGACGTTATTGAAGGCTTTCTCTGCATGCCCCTTTGAGTTTAGCTCATGGTGGGATTGTGACCTTTGACCTGACCTATGTAAAAGTGAAACCCAGGTCAGTCAGATTTAGACCTGGGAACAGATGTTTCCCCAGACCATTCGTTACATCACTTCATGGAAAATGTGTTAGAGCTGCATTATTTGGATATAAATGCATCGGAATTAAACATAATACTGTTCATTTGTTTTTTGAAACAAACTCAATATATTGTCTAAATTCAGTACATACAGAGAGATAGCTGACAGATTTTATTTATGTTATATTTCTAATATGAACACTGGATTCAGATAAAGTTGAAAATTACAAAGTTCTAAAAAAAGCAGATTGCAAAAGACAGAGTCTTCTATGTCTTCTATGAACTTCTATGTCAAACACATCTACAGCAATTTCAGTCAATACTTGCTTGGGTGGGTAGAAAATAGCATGTAGAAAATCAGCCTATGGCACTGCTGAGGTGTAATGGAAACCCAGGTTGCGTAATAGCGTCCTTCAGCTTGTCTGCACTGTAGAATCTCTCTTAAATCTTCCACACTTTTTTTCTTCTGCTCCATTAATATGTAGCCTCATGTAACTTACCCTCCTATTGGAGCTTGTTCGTAACTTTCTGCTCAACAACTGCCAACTCGACTGTTCTTGCTGTTATTGTGTTGAGACTATAACATAACATCTCTGTCTTGAACGACTGTTGTCTAATTTCCTGAAAAACTGAATGTTGTATTCTTCATAAGGTATGAGAAATAAAAGGAATAAGCACTTCAAATATGTCACTCTTTCTGTAGTAAATGTATAGAGGGATTCTACTTTTTGAATTATTAATAAATCAACTTTTAAATTTTTTTTGAAAGATTAAAATGAACTGTTCAATAAATGTAGAGCTTCACAAACTTTTTTTTTAGTGCTCTCTTCTTCGTCCTCTTGTGTAACAACGTTTGTCTTTGCAGGCCTCTGAGACGACTCTGGAGTACCCAGGCTGGGCCCTGGCTATGATCGTCATGCTCATCGTGTTCGCCAGCCTGCCTGTGCCCATCGGTTACATCCACTCCACGCTGAAAAACCGCTCCGCCCTCGACGTCCCCCCCCTGCAGGGCCCCGGCCCCGAGGTGCACCGCGAGCTGTACACCAAGTGCAACTCCACCGATCAGCTGGACTCCAACTCACATCCGGCCCCCTGTGAGGAAGACGGGGTTCGTCCCAGGACTTCCTTCCTGCCGGTGGGCAACGAGCAGTACCAGCTCCTTCCACAGCAGGAGGAGGAGGACGGGGAAGAAGAGGAGGAGGCAGATACTGGAGTGTGAGGGGGGATATTCAAGCTGATCAAATTTTGGACTGTGATGAGAAAAGGAGAGAGCAGTACAGACTAAAGTGAGAACAGTCCATTACAGTATATATTTTTCTGTCTGAATAATTATATGTTTTATATCTTTATTCAAACATTAGTGTCAATAAGCCAAAAACATTTTAAGTATTTAAGAAAGAAATCCAACTCCTCCTTGTGGTTCCCTACTCCACTTTTTGAACCACATTTAAACTGACTGAAGAGAAAGATGCAACTTCTTTTGACCTTCATAACTTCATGTGGGAGTCATAACTGAGCTGGTGGTCAATCAAGCCACCAGTCGGGAACGAGGAGTCTGTTTTTAGATAAATAAGGCATTAACTATATTTTGAGAAACTGAGATGTTTGCATGTCTGCATATGACAGTGGTTTTAGTGTGTCTGTGTGAAACTGCACAGGGATTTAACCGTTTTGACTTTTCTAATCAGTGTTTTCAGACTAGAGAGGCTGAAAGAATGAAGCTGCACATTTTAACATCTTGGCAGGAAAAAAGATCAAACTTTACTTTGAAAGTTTGGGGTTTACTCACCTTTTGCTTCAGGGAGGATTCCCCTCACCCTAGAGCAGGAGTTATTCCTACTACTGCTGAAATAATTCAAAATATTATTTGTATTATTATTATTAAAACAATGTATTCTAAATACTGTTGACTATTACAGTTGTGATTACATTTGTGATTTGTATTTATTGTTATTTTATTAAAATACACAGACATATTAGAAATACCTTATTACCACCCATTACCTTTATCTGTAGTGTTCAAGAATACATGCTCATTCTACAATTTCCCATTTTGTTGTTTAAAAGAGCAACAAACAGCTGAATTTATTTTTCCTCTAGGCCATACAGTGTGGTAGCATCCTTTCAGCCAGCTGATCAGTAGTGTGCAGCAGCAACATTCCAGCTCTGTCTCTGGCATCTGGTTAACAAAGACTTGAAATTGTAGTGACCCGAATGTCTTAGTGGTTGTGAAAGTAACTTTAAATCTTAAATATATTTTTGTCTAATTGTTGACAAATCACACAAAACACTTTTTTCAGTATTAGACATTTTCTGTTGAAATGAGATCTGGACTTTTTGCTGTCTATATGAAGTTGACGTGCGTTCCAGAGGAACGACTGTAACGCTCTTAGCTCAGCAGAACGATACGTTATCATCTGGGGAAATTATTTCATCATCAACAACATGAAATAACCCAACATTGTTGCAGAACAGTAACTGTGAGAAATGTGCTTGTTTTTTTCCAGTCTTTCTGTGTTTCGACACAGGATTTTAGTGGTTTGCTGGGCTTTGAGTGTTTTTCTTTTTTTGTCAAATGTTTTTGGTTATGAGGAAAATGTGAAATCTTATTGGTGTCGACAAATATTGAGATATTTGAACCTTCTGTCTCTCATTTCTTCTGTGGCTTTTCTGTTTTCAGTGCATGTTGCTGGAGCTTTCACTTTTGTCTTATTGGTCAGTCTGTATTTTTTTCTTATCCAGCCTTTCTAGATTGTTTGTCCAGCCAGTTTATAAAAACAAAAAAAAAACATTTTCCTTTCTATTGTTTCATCTCCTGTTTTCTGCAGACTCATTTGCATAATTAGACATATTCATGCATTTGTTTCAGAAATACAGATTGCAGGGGAACTCCATCATTTTTCTTCCATATTGAGTGATTTCGTTTGCTTTTTTGTTTGTTTTTTTTCTTGTAGCCTTGTTAGGAAAATGAATGTAACATTAGTAAACTGGTGATTTCATCTTTTTTACAAGGAATTGTTCTGCTGAGAAGTCTTTCTCTGAAAAAAGACAACCAGCAGCAATAGTTTTGTGTTTTTCTGTCAGATCAGGATGATTTGAGTGCTTCTCTTCTGAATGGGTTTGCTTTTGAAATAAAAAATAATAATGTGACAGTAAGACAGCAACTTTAGTTTAGCTTTGATTTTACCTGGTAAGATCACACAAGTTTCTACGTGTACAGTGGCGTTGTGCTCAAAAATGAAAGTGTTTCTGCACCACAATGTGCAGAAACAAATCAAATTCTCCCAGGGCCCTTAAATGTGAAAACAGATTCAAACAAATGACAAAGCTCATTTTTGTTCCACCTCAAGCTTCTTTGAAAAGTCACCATCTCCATCATCATTTCAAGAATTTGATATTGTAATTCATGCTTTTATTTATTCTACATCAATTCTTTGCACGCTGTTTGCAATCTTTGAGTTTGTGCTTGCAGGCTGCTCACATTGCAGCTGGATGTATTGTTAAATACAAGAAACTTTTGTTACGTCTGGTTTAGAAAAGACTTCCAGCCTTTTCCACTCACAAAAAGCCAGAGATCTGTGACTTTCAGGTGAAAATTTTTGAGAAATGAAAAAGTTCACGTCACAGTGATGTTACACCATGAAAGTGTTCCGTTTTAGGAGAAAACTAAATATGATTTCCTCCTCTCTAGCAGTGTAATGAAACAAAAGTCAGTGAAAGTGGTGGATATTCCACAATGAAAAATGCCAATGTCTCAAAACGTTTCATGTGCCCAATGAGCATCGATTACAGCTTGACAACAGCACCTCTTGCTGCTCTTCAGCAAACGTGTTGTGTACAAATGGTCAGTGTGATGGGCAGCCTTCAGGTCACGAGCCTCCTGGGGCCTCAGATCTTCCTATATGTTTTCTGTGGTTTAGATTATAGCAAGTTATTATAAAAAAAATATATTATAATAACGGTAACATTGTACAGATGTACATGTGTATTCAAAACTGACTTAATTCACCTTATGTGTAAATTATTCCAAACTATGTATACATATAAAAAAGCAACTTATTCAGTTTTATAAGCAGGTGAATAAAAGCGGGGGAAACACATCTGCGTTTTTTTTTAATTTAATTTTATTTTATTTTTTAGCTCTCAGCACTCTGCGAGCAGCGATGACGAAGGTTTGGACATTAATATTTGAAATCCTTTGCCTCTGCACGGTCCAGTCCAACACATTGACAGATTTCACGAGTGCGCAGAGAAATCTAAAGACTTTCCACCTGTCGCAGCCCATCAGCGGCGCTGGTTCGGTTGGGGAGGGATGAGAGAGGGAGAGTGATAGACTTGCGCGTGAGGGGAGAGGAGCGCGCGTTCAGGCGGGACAGCAGGGCGCGCAGGACATCAGCACACCGGCCGGGTCAAGGAGCTGCAAGGATGGAGATCCGACCGGACAGGTTCAAGGCGGTGGCGGGGAAAACCTTGGGGAAAATTCACAGGTACGCAATCTAAACATTGTTGATATTTTCAGGCTGATATTCTGACTTTTTACTCGTGTTTTCTGTTTGGACGCCCTCTGGCCATTTCAGCTTTATTATTTATTTATTGATTTATTATTATTATTATTATTTTTACATTTTAGAAAGTTTTTAAATTATATAGCTAATGCAGTTTTGCTTTTTTTTACGCAACAAAAGTGTAGTTTAGTGCACCCCTTTGTAAAGTGCAATGATTGGAAGTGAAAGTGGAGAAAAAGGATGGAGAGGAACAATTATTTATTTATTTATTTATTTATTTATTTATTTATTTATTTGGTTTTTATTTATTTATTTGCTTTTTGGGAAATTTGGAATGGTCGTTTTTCTTCTTTTATTATTTTAATTTCCATGTTTCTCCAAATGCATGTTTCTTTTGTGGCCCTCAAAGTGGGGCTTCAGATCAGAAGAAATTCTGGTTACATAATATGTTCTTGATAAATTGACATTGCTGATATTTCTTACGTTTTTACGGGCATGTATTTTTAGCGTTAATTGCCCAAAATTCCTGCATTTTATTACATTAAAACCATAAATAATTGTCGTTTTTTGGATATTAATCCACAGTTAAGAAGGTTTGTAAAACGACAAAGAGAGACATAAAAAAGCTGATCTAAAAATTAAAAATACTGTTTGAAAAAACATGAGATGACTGTAAAACAAAAAGACTGTACACTGTAAATGTACATTCCTTTATGCAAAGAGCCTAGATCACGTTCAGGTGCATTTCAAAGTTCATTTATAACTTAAGAGAAAAAAGAGCAAATGATAAAATAGTGGTTGGCATTTGCCTGGACAAAACATGAAGTCTTCAGAACCTTATATGGATGTTTAGTCTTTTTTTTTAATTACATTTTAATGTCTAAATAATTCTAATGTTGCAGCCAAGAGAAGAAATAATAAACTTCCTCTCAACAAGAGTATTTCTTCGAAGGTGATGTGAAATAAAATAAATTTGCCACCTCTAAATGACGTACTCATCATTTAAAGATGGTTGAGATTTTTCTATAACTAGATATAAAAATCAGAATGCATGTACTATAAAACTGCATCTGCATTTGCAGAAAGTCAGTGAGGTTGTGCAAATATGTTTGGGCATTTCATGTCAACTCAAGAGTTGCGTTGGAAACTGGTTTGCAGACGATATTTCTGGGAGAAAAATGAGAGATTAAAGACACTGATAGAACTTCATGCAATACCCAAAGCTTTAAGCTTCCGCTCTCTCAGGATTTGAGGTAGCAACCAAACGTACAAATCCCATCCTGAAATAGCCTGTTTTTCAGTCCAGCTGTCGAGCCATGCAAATCCCTGAACTCTCCCCTCCCACTCGCTCCATCCTGGCTCTATGTCACTTCCTCCTGTCTCTTCCTCCTCCTCCTCGTCACGCATGCATTGAACTACCAGCTGAGGGTCACCTGATCTAAAAAAAAAATAACAAAAAACCTCAAATATCTCCTTCTCAGAAACAGATTGATTTTAGTGAACGTTTTTGTGACTTTTGGTGTCACGCCAGCACAAGATTTCAAACAGATTTAATGTTTCCATTTAAAATTGGGAATCTGTGGGCAAACGAAGCAGCAAAATGTGTTCTAAGACATGGCGTTCCTGGCGTTTGCAATCTCTCCTCTGCACAGACAAAACCGTGATCCCCCCTCGATGAAAGCAGCCAGAAGTCTATCTATTATTTAAACATTTTTTCACTCAGAATGCATCTCTTGTTTCTATATTAAACTGCACTAGGTAAGCACAAACCTCAGCCGCGTAAGGTCAAGTGCATTCCTTGTTTCTGCAGTATCGAAACTCTCAAAGGAAGAAATAATCTACTTGCCTTGTACAAGGGAGACTACTTCAAAATATAATAATGCAGTATCATGGTGATCTAATGAAAATTGTGTTGAAATGTAACACAGTTCCTGATGAAACATAAAAAGATGGAAGCTGAATGCCTCGAGGATTGCTTGAGAGCTTATGGTTCACTACATAACAGGCAATACAGAAAATAACAGGTAATCCATATTTAATCCACTTGACTTGGAGCACAGTGCGTTTTTCTGTTACAACCTTTCATTGTTCACTGTTGAGATTAAATATTCAAGCAACGGCAAGACGATTTCATTTACTCCTGTTTGGACATCAACAATATTTGTATTTTTTTTTAAGTAGTGCACATGACTGCACTCTTAATCATTTTGGTATAGTTAACTGGGTCAATCTGGCATGGGATGATGTGTGTGTGGAAGTGTTTAAGTTAAAAGGTTTTTTGCAAATGACGCATGCAACATAGATGAGCAGTTTGGAGAGTCAGCTGCACCCACCCAGCATGCTTCTTTTTTTTTTCTGGCTGCAGTGTTGTTATGCATGCATGAAGTCGGTCCAGCTCCACCGCATCGTTCAGCGCACCGTTCTGGTTGTGTTTTAACCACAGCACCATGGCGACAATGGGTAGTTTATTCGAGGTACCTTAAAAATGATAAGTGTATGAAGGTCACACGTGTGGACAAACACTAGAGGTGTGTTTGTGCGTGTGTGTGTGTGTGTGTGGAGAGTGGGGGGGAGTGCCGTGACAGGATGGGGAGGAGGGTGTCTCCCTGGGTGACACAGTCCCACCGAGACCCAATCTGTTCACTTAAGGGAGCGTGAGCGACTCACAAAGGAAGGGGGGTGACACACCACTTTCAGGATAACGAACAAAACACATTCCTTTATCAGGTGTTTGGTGCAAGATCTCAAAATGTTGAAATCAGGAAATAAAATGGATCAATTTCTCAACATGAACGCGAACAGAAGCTGACCAGAGCTTGTGCCGTTATATAATATTTTCACCCCTCCTCGCTGGCTTTCACTCAGTCGCTGTCATCCTCATAAGAGAGGATTATGCAGAACACACTGTGAATTGGTGAATTTGATGCACAAAGACAAGACCGAGGTCACTGGGCGTTCCTGGCCTATCACTGATATCACATTATTGCAAATTTAAACGATAAAATCAGGCTCTGGACACAAATGTCAGCTTTAAACGCAGAACTAAGCTACTGGTAAATATGGGACATTTTATATTGTACCTTAATGTGGAGCATTTAAAAGTAATTATTCATTTTAATCTGTTTGCTCCGACAGGTGCAGGTTTGAAAATTTCCAATAAGTAGGAATAATAATTTAAATAACTGACCTACACAAAGTAGCATATAAAGTTGTCCTTTTCTATCTTAAAATGAGATGAAATACATTTATTTTGAACATGTAAAAAAAATTGATTCATTCAAATAAAAAACTCAGATGCGTGGCCTGCAATTACGCTCAGCTCCCAAGAGTAAGAACTATGAAGAACCATCTTTTATCAAATGTTTTACAAGTTGCAAGTTTTCCAGAGGACATATCTCTACCAGCTCTAGACTAACAAACACTATTTCTTCTGAGTGTTCCTTATTTTCATTTGGGACGTTTTTAAAGAGTGTAAGAAGTCAATTTAGCTGAAGCGTTTAAAAGTTTACTTTTAAACAGCTTCTCTGAAGTACTGAAGTTTCTCATCGTCAGGACTTCTTTCAACACTTCCAGTTTTTCCCTGCATATTCAAAAAATAAGTCCAGACTCTACCTCTCTGGTCTTCTGAAGTTAATTTTCTCAAACCTCTCTTCTGTCCTCACAGAAGAGAAATAATTACACTGATTTAACTCCACTGGAGTCTTTAATGATTTCCACTGGGTGTCATTTCATGGTTTTAGAGTAAAGAAACCAAACAGAACTTTAATTGTTGCACAAAAAAACTATTTAATAAGAATTAAAGTTTGTTATTAAAGTCTAATGATTAAATCAGTGTCAATACATCTTGACATGCTAAGCTCAGTTCTGATTAATGTGGCCCATCATCATATCGTGAGCCTCCGTCGAGTCAATTCCTGCTCTAATTATGAGAGCCTGAGGTCACGGCGCTTCTGCCTGCTCATGCTCTCCTGCTCATTAATTGTTGCCAGCTGAGACCAGCCAGGTTCTTGCTACGCTACGCTGAGTGGAAGTTCAGCTGATGGAACCTCCAGCACCGTTCGTGAGAGTGAGCCTCAAGTAAAGGCGAAATGATCCTTCAGGTCCACAAACCTGCTTGGGTGTAGAAATGTTCCACGCTGGCCAGCCTATCGTACCCTGATCTGCTTTGCCATGTTGGGACATTTAAAGTCTCACAGGGCAGAGACAGAGTGGCCTTTGGTGGGAGACACATAATTAACAACCACTTTTCCTGTGGGCTGCCCTCGTTAGTCAGCAGCATATGCGTGAATGTCAAGCTGCAATCTGTTTTTTGACGCCTAATGAGGATCCTCCTGCAGCTTCCACGAACGCTGAACTAAAATTCAGCTTGGGCTCCACTCATGGGGGGGGCGAGTCAGCACATTGGTTTAGCACACAGAAGACGGCAGTGTGAGAGCAACCAACTGGCTCCACCTGAGATATCTAAACAACTTAGCAGCCTGACCTCAGTTTGCAGGGGCTTAAATAATGCAACCTATTTGTAAACAGCTTGAAATTGACACTAAAAGAAAATAGTATGATCAAAAGATCCATTCATTCTTTACTCACTCTTCCATCCTCCTTCTGTTCTCCTTTGTCCTTCCATCCCTCTGTCCTCCCTGTCTTTGTGTGTGTGTGTGGGGGGGGGGTGGTGGGTGTGTGTGTGTGTGTGTGTGTGTGTGTGTGTGTGTGTGTGTGTGTGTGTGTGTGTGTGTGTGTGTGTGTGTGTGTGTGTGTGTGTGTGTGTGTGTGTGTGTGTGTGTGTGTGTGTGTGTGTGTGTGCGGGGTCAGGCTCCGTACTTTAAGCTTGAACTATCTTCCCTGATTTCATGTTGATTTTTCTGTATTTAAATTTTGAAAGTTGGCTAAAAATGAGCAAAACTTTTAAGAAACAAGCATATTGATTTGTTTTTATTGTACTGTGACTTGCATGTTCATGCACATCCAGCGGCTGGTTCAAACTTCTACTTATGACGACAGACATCAAAATACCTCTTGATCTTCCACGGTCAGACAAGGAAAAACCTTTCAAATTTACTTGCCTTCCCATGTTTACTCCAACAAATATGTTGAATAAGAGACAGTTTGGAAACTTTTATCTTTACAGGATGTCAAAAGCAGATGAATCATGTTTCAGCATCTCCTCAAACATTTGTCGCGCCAAACGTAGAACACGCTGAAGCGTGTCCACCGCCTGCCTGTGCCTCCATATTCATTTCCGGAAGTAAATCATTTTTGTAATCCTAATCTGAATGTGGTGACAGATTAAGAGGGAGAGAGAAAGAGACAGAGGCTGCAGCCTCACTAATCTTTTCTAGATTCTAAAACCATGTTGCTTTGCAAGTATTTATTTTCATTTTCAATTCTTTTTATCAAATGTAACGAGAGATTTTTTGCTGCATTTCTCTATTGGAGTGCGTTTTCCTTGATTTTCTCAAAGCATTCTGCACATATTTACTGGTTTGAATGTGAAGATCTGCACACAGACACATAGTGCACCTCATAGTGCAAATAGATTAGCGAGTCCACTGTATAAAGAAAGAAAAGTAGAGGCGTAAAGGGGAATCTGCAAGCAGCAAACACATCATAGATGAAGCCAATTGTACATTCAAAGTCCCATAAGCCAGTGGACAGATAGGTTGTGGCAGATTATGCTGTAAAAAAGAAAAACGTATGGACTAAAATATTTATGCAACTCAAAAAACATATTAATAATTGATCAGCGCCAGAGTCAGTCTTTCCTTCTATTGGGGTATGTGAAGAAGTTTTCCTGGAGTTTTGGCAGGTGAAGAAGTTTTGCTACTGCAGCCTCGGCATAGGATTTTTATTTTATTGTTTTTTTAAAACCCACACGGGGTCCTCACTTCAGCTCCTATCCGTCTGGATATCATGTCTGCTGGACTGGATGATTCTCCAGCTCAGTGACTAAATGGATTAGCACAACGCAAAGTGGAGGTCTGAGCGCGTGAAGTGAAACATAATAAAAGGAAACCTACTGTCACAATTGCATAGAAAACCTCTGATGCTTTCAGGTGCATCAGAGGTCTGCTCGCTTTGTGCTCGTCTGGGGGGAGATCGAGAGCGAGGTTGTTATACACAGATGGTCACTCCTCTGACTTCCCTGTTTGACTCCTGTGGAAAAATGTGACTCTGGACCATGATAAAAATAATCCCATATATTCAAACAACAACACACACCACCAAGAGTTGTTCATTTATCTTTAAAGATGAACAAAATATGTTTCTTTCCCTGACACAAAGACAGTAGATTGAAAATAAAATGGATTAAGATATGTTTATATGACGGTTTGTAACTTAAAATATCTAATAACGTTTATAAGCAAAGCCTTTTAACAGATCTTTCCTTAACAACATCATATTTCTTGTCATACAAACTATTTTAAGTTGAATAATTGCCGTCAAATGATCCCCATAGACAGTTTTACTAAAAATAGCTTTACTAAAGAACCTATTTTTTGTTGATCGACTCTGATCAATGATTGCCAGGACGGACACTGAAAAATCTTTTTTTTTTTTTTTTTTACCTCTCCATTAATGCATTAAACTTAGGGTTAGGTACTAAAACCTTCATGTAATTGGTCAATTTACCAAAAGCACTCCAAGAGCTAATCCAGTTTTAGAACGAATTAAAATAAAGAATCAAATGTTCAGATATCGAAGAAAATCAGTACCACTGCTGGCCAGGAGAAACTTGATTCTTTATCTACTATCTTTTCTTAGAAAATCCCCCTTTAGTCACACAGCTGCATGCCTGATCAAAAACCTGACTCTAAATTGATCAACATTCTTTACAGAAAAAGAAGACCCAAGAGAATGAGCAATGTCTTGAAAATCAATAAAAAGTCAGCTAAGTACATCATTTTAAGGCACGGTTGTAAAAAGTTTGAAAGAAAATACATATTTTTTTGTTTGTTTCAAGTATCTGTGTTCAAACTATTTTATTGAATCTATTTTTCAACCAGGAGAAAACACTCAGTGAATTGCTATTCTCTTTCACTAGAGTCTGTGCTAAAACTGCAGCATAACTTTCATTGATGAATAAACAAATCCAAAAAGCAGACTTAGATCAAATACAGAGATAAAATGAAAATCCCAAAAAGAAGAAGAAACATATTTTTAGTCAAACCTTCTATGAAAAAGCAACACAGTTTGCTCACAGACCTTTTTTTTGATATATTTGTTTTTGTCTTCCCGCTTTAGGCTCATTGAGAAACGACAGGCCAATGGAGAAACCATCGAGTTATCAGCTGAAGGCCGCCCGGAGCTGGTGGAGGAGAAGGAGCTGCCCGTGGTGGACTGCACCTGCTTCGGCCTCCCCAGGCGGTACATCATCGCCATCCTGTGCGGTCTGGGCTTCTGCATCTCCTTTGGTATTCGATGCAATCTGGGTGTTGCCATTGTTAGCATGGTCAATGACCATACTGTCTACAAAGGCAACAAGGAGGTGCTTGTGGTAAGTAGTGAGAAATAATTTGAAGGACATATTTTGCACAAAAAAAAAAAATCAAAAATGCAACGTGAATGCTTATTTCTGAAGATTGCTAATGTTACTTCCTGTCCTGTTCAGTTTTGTAAAGATAATTTATTTTATTTAGGTTTAAAAATACATCTTTATTCAACTAATTTGACAATTACATGGTTGTAGATAAACATATTTAGATTTTATGTCATAATTATGAAAGGTTTGCACCTTTTTGGTAAAATAAGTGTCATATATAAAATCCATCTAATTTGCAAATCAGAGTGGTTATTTTTTGCTGACCAGGATTACAACAGTTAGTCACTTTTGAGACAAGTGGATAAAAAGAAACAGAAAAGCAAAATTGTCCACTTGAACAGCAAAACTTGAAGAACTTTTTATGTTAACCTTTACATTTATTGTTGCTGTTACACCCAAAAATCCCCTTTGTGTTACAATAAAAACAGAAGCCTTTTTTTTATTGTTTAAATGAAAATTACTGCCGGCAATAAAGAGCAATGTTTTTATGTTCTCAATATATTACTGTTTAATGGATTAGGTTACAGATCACTTTGACAAAATCAATCAATGTTTTTTTGTTTTTTTTTTTCACTTCTTGTGAATCAGTAAAAAGGAAAATCCATTCATTCATCACCAGTGTCATTAACAATGTCTTTTTTGTTGTTGTTGACAAAATCAATTTAGAAAAGCACAAGGTTTAAATCATGGTGTTATTGATCAAGGTAAATAATTGGTTCAGGTCAGTTTCAAAAGCTTGTTTCTATAGCCCAAATGAGGGCATCACTGTAGATCAATGAAAAGTGATGTATTGGTTAGTTTTGCATCTAATAAAGTGTTTTTCTGTCTTTCAGGCTGCACAGTTCACCTGGGACCCAGAGACGGTGGGGATGATCCACGGCTCTTTTTTCTGGGGCTACATAGTCACACAGATCCCGGGTGGCTTTATATGTCAAAAATTTGCAGCCAGCAGGTGAATATTCCCGCTTCTGGCTGATCTGCGATCTGCACATAAACTTCTTCTGGTGCATTTTCAAAGTGTTTTCCGTTCTGCTTTTCTTCTTCTGGTGATGTTTTCGGTTTTGGCTCATATAACCTGCTTGCCTGTTGTGTGTTTTAAGAGTGTTTGGCTTTGCCATCGTGGCCACGTCCGTCCTCAACATGCTGATCCCATCTGCAGCTCGCTGCCACTACAGCTGCGTCATTCTTGTGAGGATATGTCAAGGCCTTGTTGAGGTGCACTATGTGTCTGTGTGCAGATCTTCACGCTGGCCTTTATGCACAAACATTTGCTGACTGTGCGTTGTCCTTCAGGGTGTATCGTACCCAGCCTGCCACGGGATCTGGGCCAAGTGGGCGCCTCCTCTTGAGAGAAGTCGATTAGCCACAACAGCCTTTTGTGGTAAAGTTTTTTGTGTGTGTTGGTGTCAAAATTTCATTTTGGGATGGTGCATCAAAAAATGCCTCTGAATTTTAAGACTTGATAACAAATTTTGCTGGATGATAAATTGTTCCAGAAGTGATTGTGATGACGATTATATTGTTGTTTTGAGACCATTATTAAGTAATATAACAGTAATGGCAAAATAATAATGCAGGAGCACATTCTCGGAGATTAGTAAACTTTCAATTTTAAGGAACATTTAACATTGGAACTGAAATGTTAAATATTCCAATATTTAAATATTTTTTAATACTTCATTTAAAACATTTTAAAAATCAAAAATAAAATAATTAAAACAACAAATACAATTCATTTTGAAGTCTCTATAAACAAAAAGGGCCATTTAAGACCAAAGTGAAAACTTTTATCAACTTTTACATTTTTTGGTAAAAAGAGAGAAAAAAAGAGAACATCCAAATCACGCCAATGGAAATTATGGAGTTTGTTTTCATTTATTATGCAATTAATTGATTTAGTGATTATTATGCAGATCTACCTGTGAAGTAGATAACTATAAAATACTAGAAGACCATAGAGGTATGATAATATAATGAAAAAGAAGGAAATGTTTCATATATGTGCTGTTTTCTTGTGTTTGTTTCCGTTTTAGGATCCTATGCTGGAGCAGTGGTGGCCATGCCTTTAGCTGGGATACTGGTGCAATACATCGGGTGGCCTTCTGTATTTTATGTCTATGGTTAGTATTCTTGAACAGTCCCTTGCAAATTTGTGCACATACTTAAGAACAGAACTTTACAGCTTATTTTCATTACAAACGCTATTTGTAAAATATATTTAGGTGATATTTCATTGGGAATTTTTAATGTGGCAAACAGAAAAGCGTCAGTGTGACTTTAAAGGCAAACGATTCTGGTTTTCTTGTTGCTGTTTGCTCACTAATGTTTTCTAGCAAACTTCTGAGGCCTTCACAAATAGCTGGATTTATACTGAAATTGAACAGCACAAGGCTGGTCTTTGAAGTGGTTAGTGACACTCGGATTTTGTTCTGGGTTATCAGAGTAAAAGTGGCTGATCATAAGTTACCTATTCAGACTTTTATTTTTCTCTCTCTCTCTGCTGTTCCTGTTGTCTTCGTCTCGTCGTCTCCCAGGCAGTTTTGGGATATTCTGGTATTTATTCTGGATTCTTGTGTCATATGAGAGCCCAGCAGTCCATCCCACTATCACTGCAGAGGAGAGAAAATACATTGAAGATGCAATCGGAGAATCTGCAGCTTTTCTCAATCCCCTTCATGTATGCCGCTATATGACACTTGATTTTCATTCATAAATCTACAAATAAAATAGGTTGAATGTCTGATGGACGGTGAATTATTCTGCTTCCATTTTTCTTTTGATGGCAGAAATTTAGAACGCCATGGAGACATTTCTTCACCTCCATGCCAGTCTATGCCATCATTGTGGCCAACTTCTGCAGGAGCTGGACTTTCTACCTGCTGCTCATCAGCCAGCCAGCGTATTTTGAAGAAGTTTTTGGCTTTGAGATCAGCAAGGTGAGTCTAAGAACACTTTTTTTGAAGAGCATTTTAACCAAACTGTCTTCTTTCAGGTGTTCTACGTTTTCATGTGGGTGTTTTTCTTTACAGGGTTTATTTTCATTCTTTTTTGTGTGTGTGTGTAGGAAGCATTGTTCTTTGTAGCACAAAATTAAAGTGCATTGATATTCCATATATCAGTAGCAAACACATGAGACTCCAGGTCGCTCGACGCCATGCAAGAATTTATGCGAACGGGGATGTCAATTATTTCATACAAAGGAACTGCGTGATAATTTGCTACCAGCAATTACAAATGATTTAATATTCTGGGTTCTTAGTTGGTGAATCCTGTTTTCATCTCCTTGGCTTTACACTGAAATTAATCTGCTTTTGGATGGTGTCTTTTAGTGGGAATAGTGACATTTCGAGAGAAACATCTGAACCGCTCCTTCTTGTACCTCATGCCACAGCATAAAAGCATGTCATATCAGAACTACCACATGTTAAATCCTTCTCCTTCACCTTTCACCCCATTCAAGCTTTTTGTTTTTTATCAGTTTCTAGGGCGGGTCCAGGTAATGCCAGCTTACATGGAGAGCTGCCTTGAAATCCAGCTAAAATCAACTTTTACCTCTGCTTTTTATTGTCTGCTAGTTACCATGGTCTAAAATTGTATTTTTGGTTGACTATCTTTTAATGTTTTGGGGTTATCTTCACAGGGGTTGCCAGTGAGTGGAGGGAGAACATTCAATCATTAATCCCTCTTAAAGTAAATAGTAAAAATTTACAATCGCTCGTTACCAGATGTGAAGGCCACATTTCCACCAATAAGTCAAGACATGTTCCTGTGTTGTCTTTTATAGGTTTTACTAAAATCTAAACTTCTGTCTTGTCAGGACTCTAACAAGCCTATAAAACCTTCCAAACAAAAAGCAGAGAATGAAGACATGGCAGTTTTATTTCAGTAGTAAAAGCTTTAGAAGTATTTTGGTGCCTTGTAACTGCGAAGCTAAATTCCCCCCTACAAAACCTTCCCCTTTGTCTTTTTTTCTGGCTTGCTCTTATTCCCCACTGTTTCTACATATTTTTGCTCATCAGGTGGGCATCGTGTCAGCTTTGCCCCATCTGGTGATGACAATCATCGTGCCTATCGGAGGCCAACTGGCCGACTACCTGAGAACTCACAACCTGATGTCCACCACCAACGTCAGAAAGCTCATGAACTGTGGAGGTGAGAGAGCGTCAGGCATGAAAGGACGATCTGTGGAAGAAGCACAGGGAGGATTGAGCAGGAAACAGAAAGAAAAATAGTCAAACTGAGAGTTTCATCAGTGAAACCCACAACTCTTCAGGTTGTTTTTATTTTATTTTAATTGGAACATTGTCAAATAAAAACTACACAGGATTTTAAAGTTGTAATATTATCCATATTTATGAAATGTGATTTCTTCTCAGTTCAGAAAAACTGCCAAAAGATATTACAAAAAAAAAAGAAAACTCAAAATAATAAAATAAAAATTGATAGCCAGTGATCAGAAAAACACTTCCTGTCTTGTGTTGTGATCTGAATCTGCAGCACTGTTAAATAACATTAAAAATTAACATCATAAACATGACTCATCAACACCAGCTCCTCTTCTCAGCATCCTTTAGAAGGCCTTAAAGTGCAGCAGTATGCAGAATCATATTAATATTTCAGCACTGCTTAAAGGTCATATCACTGTGTGCTAAAAAAACACACCTGGCATTTCTGACATATTTATGATGCACCGCTTTGTAATCAAGAGCAGCGCTACAGTAAGAAGGAGTTTGAAGGTTTGTTAACTGTGGATTTGTTCTCCTGTTTCAGGTTTCGGGATGGAAGCCACCCTCCTTCTGGTGGTCGGATTTTCTCACACTAAAGTTATGGCCATCTCTTTCCTGGTCCTCGCTGTGGGGTTCAGCGGCTTTGCAATCTCAGGTAGGAAACATGTTTTCTCTGTATTATAGTAATCTTATGTAACTTTATCAACTAATTCTAAAAAAATATGTTTTAAGACAGCTTAGAATCCTAGAAGAAAACTTCCCAAGACCGCAAAAAAACTTTCAAGAGATTCAACCTTCCAGCAGGACAACAACCTTAAACATGCAGCCAGAGCAACAGGGGGATGTTTTAAATAAAAACCTATTATGTGTTAGGATTACCCAGACTTAGTGCAATTTTAGTACAATTTTAAATTTGTTGCAAGATGCTTTTCATCCCAAATGCAAAAAATGGCAAAAAAAAAAGTTTGCAGTGGAAATTGCACCAAATGCTTGTTCATTAAGTGTTGACTGAACAGAAACATGACACACTCTTCTAAGTGCTTGTCCGTGAGCAAGACCAAATCAAATCACTGGGTATGAATAATTTGGGACGTTTTTACCTGAAATGCCTCATGCCAGGTCTTTAAGTTGAGATTTTGGAAATGAGCTAGTGGGCTAATATTACATGTTTATTTTTTCCTTTTTAAATGGTCTGCTGATTCAGAAAGAAGAAGAAGTTAAATAAACAGCTTCCAGTGGAACACAATGAAGACTTGAAATTGAAAACATTAGACAAATCACTACTGTAGCACGAAGAGCTGAATTATTTCTGATGTTTGAGAGTGAAGTAAGAATTTACTCTCAAAAACAAACTCAAAAATCAAAGTCAAAAATCAAAGTCAAAAAAGATTTGACTTCATATCACTTTCAAGAGACACTGAGACTGAGATGTTCAGACACGACTGTCCTCTTCTCTGAACTGGGAGAGGAAATCCTGACACCACAGTGAAAATAAGTTATTAAAATCTATGGGACTCAAAAAATGACCAAGTGCTTTTCTTTGAGGATTGAGTTGGGATTTTCAGCACCCAAATTATATCTCATAGGCAAGAAAATGACTATTTATTGTAGAATATTGTCCCTTTGCGAAACAAAGAAGGACTACAAGGGTGCTGACGATTAATAGCATTAATGTAATAATACTGCTGTGCAGCCCATTGGCTTATTTACAAATGCAGTCTGGACAGCTATGATGGAAAAAACATCTTAGTCATCAATAAAATAAGTTTGCTTGCACAGAGCTGCAACTTTACTGGAATCCATATGAAAAAAGGCTGCAGCTTTAGAAGGAAGAGCAGAAGGTTGTGGTCTGATGGAGCTCCTGTGAGACGCAGCCCGGCTCTCCTTCAGTTTGAGTTTCTCACTGAACAGACTGCAGCAGTCAATGTGAAGAATAAATTATTAATTATCTATGCCCTGGGTCTTCTCAAAGGCTTTGCAACTCAGCAAACAAATGTCAATAAGTATCCGTGTCTTATTAAGCAAGATCAGCCTGTTTCACACTCTATATACCAGCTTCCTTTATTGTTTCAGTATGATCTTTTATTTATTGTTCTTGTATTTCCTTTTACTGCACAGAAACTAATTTCTTCTTCTTTTGCTTCCAAGTGACCAAATTTTCCTGTTGTGTCTGATAAAACCTTTCAAATTTAGTTGATTCCCCATATTTTCAAATCATTGTCCCGTCAAAAGACTCAATGAAGAGTAATTTTCAATTTCTTGTAGTTATTTTGAAAAAAATTCTGGGATTCCAGTGATTTAATTATTCAATGCAGACCTACCAGGTTGCCAATGCCTTTAAAGAAGAAACATGCAGGTAGCATCACAAATCCTCTTCTGTGCTGACAGGAAGTATAAGCTAAATTTCCATATGTTCATCCAAACCTACCTGGAGAATTTGCACTTTATCACTGAATTAAAATACTCAAATTAAAGGTTTGATTTCTCTAAAAGCTGTCAGAAAATGTAAGTGCAAAAAACAAACAAATGTGAATTTATTCTAAGACTTTTAAAGCATTGTTTTTAACCCCCAAAATGCTGCTGTTTGTTTTTGCTTTTAAAGGGTTTAATGTTAATCACTTGGATATTGCCCCTCGATATGCCAGCATACTGATGGGAATTTCCAACGGAGTGGGAACGTTATCAGGAATGGTGTGTCCTCTCATAGTTGGGGCCATGACCAAACACAAGGTGACCAATATACTTCTTCCAAGCTATTCACAAAGGTTTAGGTCGAATTTGAAACTAAGTTGGATCTTTTTATAACTCTAGACACGTGAGGAATGGCAGTACGTCTTCCTCATAGCGTCCGTCGTCCACTACGGAGGAGTGATTTTCTATGGTAGGTATGATCCGCTCCGAGAAATTGTCTGTTGGTTCCACTTAAAAGCAACAAAACTTCCTCTCCCTTTCAGGGATCTTTGCATCCGGAGAGAAGCAGTGGTGGGCTGACATAGAGGACACGAGCGAGGAGAAATGCGGTATAATCAATGAGGACGAACTGGCCAATGAGACGGAGGAGCTCTACCGTGGAGGCGGCCAGTACGGGGCCATGGGTCAGCCGGTGGTTGGTTCAAATGGAGGAGGAGGCGGCGGTGGAGGCGGTGGAGAGGGATGGGTTACAGACTGGGATAAGTCTGAGGAGTATGTGCAACCACCGGGATACAACTCGTACGTGCATAGTGGAGGGAAGGAGAAGGAGCTGACATAGAAGACTGAAGTGATTCAACAAAAAATAAATACATGAAAAGATTGTTTATGTAGAAGGATTGTAAGGGAGCTGTTGAGGTACACTGAGGACATTTAAGGACATTTTCAGCTGCACATGTCAAGAGTCTGGATCCGTTATGTTGCAGACGGGGGTGTGTGCGTGTGTGTGTGTGTGTGTGTGTGTGTGTATGTGTATGTGTGCGTGTGTTTGTGGATGTGCAGCAGCCAATGCAGTGAACCTGCAGAAACATACAGTTTTCATTTGCAAAATCTGGACTCTTCTCCCAGACTTTCTTCCTGATTCTGACTTCAAGGCCAGCAGTTTTGTTTCCAAGCCGTTGCTGAGGAGTTTGTGTGTGAAAAAGAAAAAGTGATGGTCTTTTGTTGTTTTTACATTTTTACTTGTAAGCATTTTTGATTTTTTTTTTTCAATTTATGGCATAAAACAGTGTTTAAATTACAAAAAATACATTGTGAAATGGTGCAGCTTCATAGTTTCAGAAGAAATAACAAACAAGGAAGGTCTTGGTGTTGGGTTGCATCAGTCTGTGCACATAAATATGATCTGATTTTTGAGGGAAAAGGTGTGTGTGTGTGTGTGTGTGTGTGTGTGTGTGTGTGTGTGTGTGTGTGTGTGTGGTGGGGGGTGTGTGTGTGTGTGTGTCGAGGGGTCAGGTGTCGCGTGTGCATGTGCGGCAGCAAGTGTGAGGTTGTGTCAGATGCCGGTGCTGAAACATTGTGCGGTGAGCATGTTTTAATTTGCACAACTTTCCAGCCCTCTCTCTTTTTTTTTTTTTCCACTGGTAACTCACAACAACATACAGAGTGTTTATTTCATCCATGCACAGCAAAGTGCAAACACGCAGAAAGAATAGTGACACAGATTTTAATCATAAAAGAGAAATTCACTACTGCCAACAAGCAAGCATTTTCTGGCAAACAATGTCAGTGAATGTGTAAAATACAGCCAGTCATGTTTCTTTTTGCACACCCTGTTATCTCTGTTTCTGACTGCTCAGGATTGTCTTTCAGACAAACTACTGAACTGCCTAACCTGCTGAGTGCACTGCATTGAATTCATAAAATAATCCTTGCATCCTCAAATACTCAAATACACACATAACTCCTGCTTTAATGTTAAGCAACAAATTTTAAATGAAAAAAAAAATTATAATTTGTTATCAACTAAGAATGTTAAAACTGATGTGTGGGCACAACAATGTTGGTAGCCTCTGTTGACAAATCACTGTTTAAAAGGGGTAAGCCAGATGTTGTTCTGAGTGTAACGTATTTAAGACATGAATGATTATTTCTTATGTGACAATTTGTTTCCGTGTGTTGTATCAGTGTATCTTTAATGGATTTTCTTCTTTGTCAAACGTTTTGGCTGTTCAAATGTTCTCCTCTCCTCTCTCGATGAAATGTGTGGTTGCTGGGTGAGAATCGGTGTACGAAGAAGAAAAAAGAAGCATCGTGATTTAATCTTGCAGAAATGTGGACATATTTTATGTATGAAAAAATGTACATGTGAGGTGAACCTTGTGTAAAATAAAGATTGGAGCGACTTCAGACGGTTTCAACGAAATCGCGGCGTCGTAGGGAGTCATTATTTTACACTGAAGGTCCTGCGACACTGTGACACACTGGATCACAGTGTTTTTACACGAGGATCCGCAATTGTATCTCTTTCTCCCCTGCTCTGCCTCTCTCTGTCTCTGTCAGGACAGATGGATTCGGGATTATTGCTGTGATTTTAGGCAAAGATTAGATCGGAGAGCAGATGCACTCAGTGGGAAGCGTGAGGCAGAGGCATGGACGTCAAAGACAAGGGAAGTGTGGACGATGAGACAGAGGGTGGGGCACACTGTGACTATGTGTGTCAACTGCAGCGCAGCCGACTGAAGGACATAATGTATCCTTAAGCTGGGTGTGGGACCTACCAGAACACGCATCCACTGTGGATTTGGGTCAAAGTTGGAGGATTTTTTTTTTTTTTTTGTCAGTCTTTTCTTTTTTAAATGTACAATACTCTGTTTGTATATTGCAAATTGTAGCGATTTTCAAAAGAATTTCAACATTTTCTCTAGAGTTATTCATGTTTTATGATTCTTTAAGCAGAAGTTTTAATCCCACTTACACTAATGTGATCATTATCTGCAGTTTCTTAATTAATCTCATGATTAAGCATTAAAAGTAATACTGAATAGCCAAACCTGAGGCTGGTCATCACTCTCCTTTACCCTTTCTTTATAACAAATCTTTAAAAAAATAAATAACTAAAAATTTATTAATTCCTCATTACCAACACTAGAGGGGGCTGAAACTCCTGAAAAATCTAACAAAGCTTTCCAATAAATCAAGGGTTTGCAGCCAGAGCCACATGCAGTTAGTTCTTCAGGGCCTTTTAAAGTGGCTATTAATACCAAAATAGATATAAAACTAAGCTGTTTTTACATAAAACTATTTTAAAAAGCTAACCTTTCCGGGTTTCCCACCTTCATGTGACATCTGCACAGAGATTTCACAAAACAACAAACACTAATTGCAAAAGAAATACGATTGTTTAGTTTTTTTCTTTATTATTGTTACTACAAAACTAAAAGCTTCTTTCATGTTTGTCCATGAGATTGAATGTTCTGTGTTGTTTGTGCCAGACAGACATATATGAATATTCACTGACCCTTTGGGATTTGATGGAATAGAAAATTAATATCAACAAATCTGCAGTTACTGTGCGATGCTGTCCTGTCAATATTTGTCCAGGTTATCTCGGGAATGTTTACCCTTTGAACTGGATCTGTGCTGCAAAGAAAATCAGTTCTCTACATTCACTATTTTTATTACTTCGTCCATATTTGTCTATTCAGATGTTTCAGATGTAAATATTGAGTTGCAGTTATCAAGAGTCACAATCAGAGGGCGGTAAATATTCAATCATCTCGGAACACACGTCACAAATCAGGGGAGTCATAAAATAGAGGTAAAAATATTCCAGGTAAAACTTTCAAAATAACCCCTAAATAGGTAGCGGGGTTCAAATAAAGACAAAAATAATAGTTTAAATGTGTTACAGGATTTTTACTGTTTTTTTTTTTTTTTTTTTTTTTTTTTGTTTGTTTTTTATGTTACGCAACGCCTGTAAGAACTGCTCATCAGCATGTTGAGTCCGAGGCGAAGTTAAAGAGAAGGATCTGCAAGAAAGGAAAAGCTGTCCGGGAAGCCGCGCCCAAACGAAGACAAAACTGTCCATGATTGGGGATTTTTGCAATCTTTGGGCGGGATTATAAACCAAGGCTTCATTCTGATTGGCCAGAAAGGACGTCATTCGTTGATATCGTCATTTGATTGGTTGCCTTACAAGGCGATTAAGGCTCCACTTACAATGAACCGCAGCTGAGAAGAAGTAGGAATTACTACATTTTCTTGCTTGTACATCTTTGTATTAAGTTCAGCATTTTTTTCCCTCGCACTTTGAGGATTGTCCAGCCCGAATAGTGATTTCTGTATCTAGCCTGACAGATAAGTTGTCAGACACTGAAGTGTTTCTCCCAGTGCTTTTGAATAAGGAAACAATCTCTTGCTAACGTTATGTAGCAAGCTAATCTCACTTATCTGTCGGAAACTCAACTTTCAATTCAGTGTTTCACATCCCCGCGGACAGGTAAGCACAGCTGAACGTGTTTTCTAACTTCTCGCCCTCACTCGCCGCCTCTCCGCACTGATAAAACCCGACACGAGTTGAACAAAAGCGTCTTGAACGGGGGAGATAAATCTGGGTTAGATTCTTCGCCATGTCAGTTCGGGGACGAGAGAGCGGATTGTCGCTGGGGGGGGGGGAAGAAGAAGAAGAAGATCTGTTAATGATCACCTGATTATGAAATCGCGGCTTTTAACTTCCAACAGACTCGCCCACCTGTTGACCCGACTCGTTTCTGCAGGCATGACCGAGTACAAACTTGTGGTGGTCGGTGCTGGAGGCGTGGGGAAGAGCGCTCTCACCATCCAGCTGATCCAGAACCACTTCGTGGACGAGTATGATCCCACCATCGAGGTGAGAACAAGACCGCCACGCTGCGACCGCCGCTGCAGGAAGCCGCATCGGCTCTAAATATCAGGGTGTGTTAGGGTTATTCTGATGTTAATGGTTGCATGACTTTTAAAGGCCACCGCAGTCTGATCTGTCATGTTGGAGCTCATGTTGTTGGCAGCAAAACTTTAAGAGTGTGTGACATAAAAGTTAAAAATGTAAATTGGTGTAAAAAGAAAAGTTTTATTTATGTAAAAGTAATTAATTTCAATGTCATGAGGCTCCCAGTTTTTATAGATCATTAATAATCTAACACCGATTTCATTCAGATTAGTCACCAGCCCTTTTTGGGATTCGGTCAAAATTATACACTTGAGTAGAAATGTACAATGATATTGTCATGTAACTAATCCTCCAGGTTCTAATTTTATATCAATGCATTTGTCATTTTGTTTTTGACCTGTAGGTTTAAACTAAAAATACAAACGGATGGTAAATTTTAATAGTTTTTTTGAGTTGCTTACTGTGCAGAATGCTCTGGAAATGTATCAAACTCATATTTTCTGGGTAATTACTCAGACTTCTTTTTTGACACAGTGCTGCGTTTTAAAATAGTTTTAGTTTTATTATGAGACATGAAATGTTCTCCTTTTGCGACTGCCTTTTATTGTAACAAGAAGAAAATTCATACGCTGTGTCTTATGAGCTGGAGACAATGAAGTGTAAGTGCCACTTTTCATCAAGCTGCCAAGCAGTGCACAGCAGCAAAGAGGGAGCTCTCAAGTTGCTCAAAGAGGAAACCACAAGAAACATAAAAATGATGAATATTCTCAGGCTAATTATGACATTTTATTTTGATTTCAATATGGAAAGTTACAATAGAATTTAGATTATGGGATAGTCTTAAGTAAATATGTATATTTAACAGAGCATTCATTCATTTAGTTCACATTTCTTGGACATGCGAGTACATCAAACCATTCTGCTTGTTTATATCGCACCAAATTACAACAGATCTCATTTTCAGATTTCAATATTGTTTTTAAATCAAGTAGATGTGTAACAATGTCATTTAAAAACTCTCATTCAGAGCAATAGACATGCTCTGCAACTTGATTCTACTTTCAGTACTCGACAGCTAAAGTCAAATGATTATTTAATGCCAATAATTGGTTGGTCATTTGTCTACTGTAGCCTGCAGTTGTCTGCTTAGCAGATGTGCTGCTCACTGCTCGCCATCTGTGAGAGTTTCAAAACCGCAATACCTCAGTGAAAGCAATAATTGACATGCACTTCGTTTCCACGTTATGGCTGTTTATTCTCGACCGGCACTGGAACTACATGTTTTCTGTTTGCAAAATAAACTGCAGTAGCCGCCTTCTTTCAGCCAACTGACCCAACAATGTGCAGGGACAGCTGGGAGGAGGTTCCTGCACATTGTCTGGAATAACCTTTTCCAAAAGCTCAGTTTATCTTAATTGAGGAGGACCGTAACGAATGTAGACAGTGTTTTTCTTAAGCAGAGATTGTAACTGTGAAATAGATGCAGAGGACATCACGCCTCATAAAGGAGGCATAATGAAGTCGAAGCATTTTTTCACAGATTGGAACCAAATTTTAAATGTTTTATCAGCTCTGCTAAAAAGAGAAAACTGTTCAGCTTGCCGTAGTCACATCTGGTAAATTAAATTCTGAAGCCTATGTGGAAGATCTTATCGGTTTCATTTAAAGCCGCTCAGAGATATAAATCATTAACGTCCCGTTAATAAGGGATGAATAACTAAGGTGCAACTTCAGCTAAACTAATTGTTTGGATGATGACGTGTTTGTGACGCAGGACTCGTACAGAAAACAGGTGGTGATCGACGGGGAGACGTGTCTGCTGGACATCCTGGACACTGCAGGTCAGGAGGAGTACAGCGCCATGAGGGACCAGTACATGAGGACTGGCGAGGGCTTCCTCTGTGTGTTTGCCATCAACAACACCAAGTCCTTTGAGGATGTTCACCTTTACAGGTAGAGAGTGATTTAAAAAAAAAACATCTCAAAATTCTGGATCCGCAGTAAATAGGTGCTGGAGAGAGACACCATGTTGACTCAGAACAGATTGAGTCACACTTTGCTGTTTTTAGGACATCAGATTACTGCAGGACTCAACAGTTTAGCTATGAAGGCCATTTCCTGCTGAGCAGGAACTGTGCACATTTATCTCAAACACACATGCTGAGTGGTTAAAATTTCTGATCGTTTGAATCAAGGCAGCTCCTGTAATTTTGCTCATTTCAAGTCGAACGGCTCCTTTAGAGTTTAGACTCTGCAGTTCGTTTGTGTAAAAAAAAAAAAGCGACCGACCCAGATGGGTGGCTGCGAACGAGGTCAGCCTCATTGTCTGAGGGTTTGTTTTTTTAGGTTTTTTTTTTTACATGTCATCCCCTCAGAGAGCAAATCAACCGGGTGAAGGACAGTGACAGTGTTCCCATGGTGCTGGTGGGGAACAAGAGCGACCTGAGCGCCCGCACGGTGGAGACGAAGCAGGCTCAGGAGCTGGCACGGAGCTA